TCTTTCAGAGCTTCATATTCCCACGTTTCCAGCTGATCACAAGGCGTAAAAAAGGGGAAAGCTTAGTTATTATTGCATGAAAAGTAATTAGTTCATGGAAAGTTGTGATTAATTAACTATCATGAGTAGAGTTAATTACCTGATGAACAGTAGTAGTAGTAGTAGCAGTAGAAGAATGGAACGGCGCCGTGTCGGAGAGGAAGTGATCCTCCCAAAGCGCGTGCTGAAACTTAGCCGACTCTATCCTCTCAACAGTTGCTGATCTCTCGGCGGCGAGATTATCAGTTCTAGAAGCCGCCATCATCACAACTGCATTGTTGTTATTGTTATTATAGTTTGATCGATGACAGCCAGCTGCCCAGTTTTTCCCCACGCGAGAAAGTTTCAGCTGGCGGTTAACCGGAAGTTGTAGCCGTTGATGTATCGGCCGGCCAGGCCTGCCGCCGCCGCCCAAAGGAAATGGCGGCCGATGCGTGGCCTTAAAGTTACAAAGGGAAGCTGTTGCCATTGATGGATTGATATTTAGAAGGGAGTGTACGTGTTATTTCTTTCTTGTGTTTGAGAGAGAGAGAGAGAGAGAGAGAGAAAGCAAGCTACAAAAGATGGAAATATGGTACGTAGATGAGATGGCAAGAGATGGTATATATACACTATGGTAACTAAGGATGGTATCACCTGTAAACAGGATTAAGATAATCGCGATGCCATCGGATTGGAAGTCTTCATTAATTAATTAATTAATTAATCTGCAAACGAATAAGCAATATATAATTCGGAGGAAGAGCTACCTGCAGATGGTTGCTGTTAGATTCGCAAATACATGCATGAAACTACGGAGATATGGAATATCGGCACCCGAATCCATCCGCCAGTTGCCAACAATGAAACCATTTGGATCACAAATTGAGTTGTTGGGTTCAATGATATTCCATCCTAGCCGTCAAATCCGACTAAAGGCACAAAACCTAGAAAGCTTGTCAATTAACTCCATGGCTGCGCTACCTCCATCCCTTTCTCCCTCCCTTCCTGATTCTTCATCTGGTCAAAACCCCAAAATAGAGAACAATTTTTTTTTTTTATGAATCAAGGCTGCGCCACCTCCATTATATTCCTCTCTCTCTCCCTCCCTTCCTGATTCTTAATCTGGTCAAAACCCCAAAAAGAGATCAAGTTCTTATGAATTTGGTCAAAACCCCAAATCACCTTCTTGTTTCCTACGTTGTGTTGAAGTCCAAAAAAATAGGTATATATGAATAATGGTGGCTATACGGTCCGGTCCGGTTAAATTGGCCCGAATTGATTCGGTCCCAGTCCGGTCTTTTCGAGAATATAAGGACCAAAGATGGGATTGAATATAGTACTCCAGTCTTGACCCGGTCCCGTCCCAATTCAGTCTTGATTTTAGATTGAGCTTGTGGGAATTTGAGTGGCCTGAGGACTCAAAGGGTGAGGAGTTAGTTAAGTTTTGGGTGTTGGACTCTCTTATCCGGTCTTTATCCATTTTTCGATCCGGTCTCAAACCGTTTTTTTACCTCAAATCTAAGCCCGAAAATTGGATTGGATTGTTTGCTATCCAGTTTTAGTCCGATCCCATCCGGATTATACGACCCGATTTCGGATAAAACCAAATAGTTCGCCCTAATATGCATAGGGCTATTGTGATCAATGTGTGATTTATTGGGTAATCAGACCCAATTTGATGAGTATTGGCTTTGACCCAAATCAACTCATATTTACTTTTCATCAAATTCATCTGCAAACGACAAGCAGAATAACCTAGCCCATGTGAATTTTACTATTAATTAGATGAGGGGTTTGTTGCTATTAGATTCGCACATACATGCATGTAACTCGATCTGGAGATATATAATTAAGCTGATAATTAAGTGTCTCGTGCAGCTCTATTAACGTTGTAGATTATAATCATCACATGCAAAACCAGAAACCACTACTAGATTTAGGAAGAATTATTGGTTAATTTACTAGATTAGCCGCCAGCTGGTGGCCACACATGCTAGCTGTTTTGACGGTTCCCATTTGGGGAAAACAAGGTTGTCTTTTTTCCCCCCTTCTCATCGCATATGAATGTTTCTATGCTCTATCAACGTTGTACATCTTAATCCTCATCTCATCGCATGCAAACAAACCGCTACTAGTACTAGATTTAGGAAGAATTGTTGTTAGCCAGCTTAATTAGCTAGATTAGCCGCCAGCCCACATGCTGTTTGGATGTTCGGAAAATAACGTGCTCTCTTTTTTTCTGTCAGAATTCCATGTACGTACAGTTACAAAGATGAAAGACCTACGGCCGCCGGCCACCCCGAATAGACGTTGTTTGATATTTTTTTCTAAACTTGATCCACCGCACGGCCGCACGGCCACACCGAATCTCCTAGAGAGGAAATATCAAAGCTCTGGCCATCGAACTCACCGCCGCCGGCCTGCTTTCTTTCTTGTCTTCTGACCTTCAGAGGAACCCAGACGGCACCGTTTTGTTAGTTATTTATTCAGCTAGCTAGCTTACAAGCTGTCACACACATAGTAATTAAGTTAAACAACGTGCCTATAAGAAATCACAGCCAGCAATATATACCTGCCGAAAGGTGATTATATATAATGAGAGTCAGAGGTCCGGCAGTAGCCTTATCATCCCCAATCTCCGCCGGCGACGATGGAGCAGCAGTACTACTCGACGACGACGACTCACCAGCAGCAACATACCACCACCAACCTACACATCGAAATCAACCCCCCGCCGCCGGCGGTCGGCATACCTGTAGGTCCGCCGGAGCTTGTCGCCGAGCGGAGCACCTCTGCTGTGATCATAGGTGAAATATCTTAATTAATTAGTCACCATATGTAGCTGCGGAGTTTATTGCGACGAATTTCCGAGTCCGTCACAAAATATCCGGAGTATCGATCTAATTTGACGACAGTACTAATTAATTGATCTTAATATTATGATCAGTTAAGGAAGAAAGATGGAGTTGCTGTGGCATGGGTTACGGGTGGTTCCTGTAAGTGAAACATCTCTGCTGCTTCCTCTTCTTCTTGTTGTGGCGCGCGTGAGATATACCACGTTGATCATGGTCGAGAGTGTTAACTGGATTTTATATCACTTGATGACGATTTTAATTTTGTTTCTACAAATTAAAGGTTCGTGATCGGATGGTTTCTTTGTGGGGTTCCTTGGTTTGCTGGATTCTTTGTTCTCGTTTGTGGAAGGTACGACCGTCGCGAAAGGCCAGGACTCCTAGCATGCGCTACATTTGTAAGTTACCATTCAGACAACATTAATTATTATCACTCTCGTCAATTCCTCTTAATTCCATCTATTTTGGTCATTAATAATTTCATTGCGCAGGCCATTGTCGTTTCTGTCGTAGCGATTATACAAGCAGTCAAGGGGGACAAACATTGATGCCAATAATCAAATTCCCAGAAATAATGTTAAAATAGCTATGTTGTTTCGTCAGAAACTAATGACCGTTTCAGGCTTTGTATTATGCCAATTCTTTTCACTGTCTGGTGCTGTTATGCAAATGCAAGCCGTCTTCATATATGTGAAGGATAATGTCAATGCATCAAAATAATAAAATAGTTGCTATAGTTTTCTGTGGCGTAGCTCCACTTGTTGTTCTTTGGCTCTCTTTGTTTTACTAGGTCGCTATACAACAATGTTAGTCTTTTGCGAATGATCAGAGGACCATCAAATTGGGCACATATACTTTTAGCGACCAGTAGTATGTATAATGACGCCATCTATGGCATTGTGACTATTGTGACCAAGATATGGATAGTCCCGACTTAAAAGTAAAAAAAAAAAAAAAGCTCAATCATTTATCAAATGAGGTCTCATACGTTTTTAAACCTTCTAAAAGAGCATTGGTGACAATACATATTAATGAGCAACGATAGAGTAAAGAGGGACAATAGAGAAGAGCCAAATGAAACCATATTTATAAGATGTCATGTCCAGTTTCATCTGTGTGTTGTCAAAGGCTTTCATGATTTAGACCTCAACGCAAGGTGACTTGTCTAATTGTCTTTCCCGCAATGTGAATATTGTAAGAAAGCGGTTGGTTTCAATAACTCGAGTTGTTGAGAGAGGTTCATGTATGATACTGAATTACTTTCTCGCCGTACTATGTGCTTTAAAGACTATAGGTTTAATATTGAGAGTCATGAAGACTCGAACACGTGACGACAACGACAAACCAGCTCCGATACCATGTCATAAACCAACTTATCTCAATAACACGATTTGTTGAGAGAGGTCCATGTTGTCAAGAACCAGTTGATCCCAATAACTCGAGTTAGTTGTTGGGAGCAACTGGTTCTCGACATGGTATCAGAGCCTTCTGTGACCGAGAGGTCTTGTGTTCGATTCCCGGTGACGCCCATTTGTTAAGCACATGGTATTCTTGTCTTCAGACCTGTGCAAACTTCAAGCCCTTGTGAGTGGCTTTCGTTTGAGGGAACGTGTTAGTGTTGTGGTATATGATTCACGATTGAACCTCTCCCAACAACTCGAGTTATTGGGAGCAACTGGTTCTTGACACATGTATGGTTCTTAACCACTTTCTTACAAATATAATAGAGAATTAACAAATTTAGTTACTTCATGTCTGATTATTAGATTAAATTTATGACTTTGTATCCTGAACCAAAACAAAATTTGGTTTACCAAATTCAAGAAACAAAGTCGAATCAGAAAGATCAACAATTCGATTCGATCCAAAAATCGATTCGCCATCCCCGATGGAACTATTTAGTCATTGAATTGGGGCTCAAATATCTCAAATACTCTATTATGCACACAATTAATCATTACCCGTGAATTTATTGAAATCATACAAAGTACTCCAGATCAAATTGGTGATCTATTTTACACAACGCTTAGTGAAACAATTTTTTTTTCCTTTTTAACAAAATGTCGACATTTAGCTCAGTACACTTCCAAGCAGCAATCCATGGCTTGATTTGTCGATGAACATAGACTAATACGCATAGGCTGGCCTTGACGCACTGATTATGACCAAAATTATGAAAATCACAGACTGCAAGACAACAAAAGGAACGAGTAGGGGCAATTAGAATCATATATATAAACAAAAGGGGACGGACTAAGCAATAGAGACGGCCGATACATACAAGAACTGCGCAAGCTATGTATCCAGGCTTCTCTCGCTTGTCGTACTTAGAACAGACTAGAGCGCCAGCTCCGATGTACCACGGCACCGCAAAGAAGAATCCCAATATAAACCTTCACAAAAACAGTTTCCACGGGTTAAAAACGGTCACTAATGAGATTTAGTGACCACATTAGATGCCAGCACGGTGGTCAAATCGGTTTAAACCGTTGAGTAGGTCAAGCAAATGCTTTGAGACTTAATAGTTGGATCGTAGTCTAACTAATATCAACTATTTCATCCAAAAATATATAGCTATATATGGTAATGATTTAAAATTTTCATAACTGGAATGTAATTTGATCGATTACCATCGAGTAATTTGATTTATCGATCAGACTATTGGTTTTTGTGGTTTTGACCGGCAAATGGTCCAACCAGCTGGCTACACAACCCTTGGATCGATGTCCGTCATCGATCCATGGTCGACATGAGCAAGGCTAGAATCTCCAACCATGTTTGCCCACTCGATCGAGCAGGTTAAATCACGTACAAATTTGTGCGAATTTATAATTAACCAATGATTCGATTTTACTATTATATATTAAACCGTTGATCTCAAAAAGGGTGAGACTATAACATATTTACTTACAGAAGCCAGCCGAGACCAATTCCACAGCAAGGAAGCTCCGGAGGCCTCTGATCGACGACGGCATAAACCTCAGTGGTGGTGGTGGATTGCACCGGGATCCCCGCCACCGACGTCATGTACACGTTGGCCGTGACGTTGGAAGATTGATGTTGTTGAGGAGGAGGGTAAGGATACCCTGCCGCCGGACTCCCATAATCACCACCACCACATTGGTTTGTGTTACAGGCCGGCGGCTGCGGCTGGGACGGAGGAGGAATATTGTTGCTGTTGGGAGGAGCCGACGGCTCTACGAAGAGGGCAAATTGCTGGTTATTAGGAGGTTGAGTATTTTGTCCGCCATATCCAAGGTTGTTGTTGCTATTGGCTTCAACCATTTTTTTTGGGGAAGAGGGTTTGTTTTGGAGGAGATATTATTTGATGGGTTGATTTTATGATTAGCTGTGTATATATTGATTATATAGCATAAGATGACGAAGGCTAGCCTGCCTTGTGGTTGTAGGGTTTATTTTTAATTGTTCTGATTTGTTGTTGGTATGATTCCTTCTTGGAATTGACTTTTATTCTAGCTGGTTGTCAATATGTACGGGGGTTATTATGATATTATTAATTTAACATAGTTCGTGATTAACTATAATTCTGATGAATTTGGTTTCAGTGCAAATATTCGTGGTGGAGTTTTTTAATCTAAAGTGGTTAACCAATTGTTTAAGGGTGAAAAGAAAATTGTCATTAAGTCACTTTTTTCCCAAAATACTAGAATTTGGTTGAATGAAATTTTTAGTAGCGTTGTTGTGGACATTGTGAAAATCGCGTAATCGCGGGTGGCATTTGAATTCAAGCTATGACGAGTATGTGTGTTAATTTGTGGATCATTTTTATGCTAAGTGGAGGAGCGACTGATTTGGTTTCGATATATAACGTGTTTGATTGTAGTTTCGATTTTTCATGATCGGGTTCAATCTATCAGGTGCTTGATTGTGTCTGTATTTGACTTGTTACGCAAGTGATCTAATGACAAATGGAAAAAAAAAAGAAGAATTGAATACAATTTTTGCTTGAGTAGTGGGATTAATTAAGTTGGTAAAATTACCTACCAATAAGTTGAAATATTTTTTGTTGAAATGGAATAATAAGCTGCAAAAAAGATAAGTTGACATCTGATTTATCAAAAAAGAGACAAAAGTTGACATCTTACACAAATATATATACTTTTCCCCTACTTGAGGCCACGATCACGATGCAATTAGAGAATTGCAGGCGACCTCAATAAAGCTGGCTCTTGCCTTTGGAGGAAATTAAATATGGAATATGCCAGTAATTGTACACTAAAAGAGTTTAATTTCACGACAAACAAATTGAGTTTACTTTGGATTAATCACCAAATAATGATACTTACGAGACTCTTTCCCCAATCAGTTTGTGACGTTAATTCCCGAACGGTTTGCTCCTTCAGGAACGTTGTTATGGGAAGTTACTATGAAAATGTCTTCATTTCTGTCTTGTTGTGTTTGGTTTTTTGATCGGTTGTGCTTGTTTTTGAAAGGGAAACTGTTAGCTAGCTAGATGGTAATTTCGTCGAAGTTAAAAGTCTAGTGTTAAATAATTAGTCACAATCTCTCCAAAATAAATAAATATGTGATGGGCACCCCTCAGATCATATAATTGCGAAATGGATGGCATCACACCTGAAGAAAAATCAACCGGAGTTTGGAGAGTACTGAGAGTCATACAAAATTCAATGATAAAGTATAAAATCAGCTGTATATGGGAATACAATGAAAACTAGAATCCAGTATAAAATATGCCCTTGACGATTTCACTAATAAATCGATGAAATATATAATCAGTAAAATCAAGTTTTAACTAATTATCAGGGTTCAAGAAGGCGCGCCTAGGCGCACGCCTAGGCTCAATTAGGCGCTAGGCGGTGGAGGATCGCCTTGACTTGGCCATAGGCCTTGCAAAAGGCGCTGGTAGCGCTTAGTAGGTAGGAATAGCGCTTAGTTTGCGCCTAGTGGAGAGAAGGCGTGCCTGGGCGTTCCTAAGCGAGCTTAGGCGGTTAAACCCAATACTCTTCATTTTGTCCTAGAAAATCAGAAAATTGCTTCTTGCCCTAGAAAATCAGAAACACGGGAAGGGGATGACTATGCTATGTATATATTCGTAGATGAGGATGAGGAATCATATTGTGCACCCTCGAGTACTGTTACAGATGCAATGGCGGGTGAACAGAGTGAGCTTCGCAGGAGTGCACGAGTGAGAGAGCTCCATGATGAAGAATTAGAGTCTGAAGAGGATGAGGATGGTGAGGAGATTGCTTTTGAGGATGATGAAGATGAAGTGGTAGCTGGACGGACCTACTTGGATGATGAAGAATGAACATTTTTCTATGAACTTATTGACTATTGTTTAGTATTTCGACATTTTATGAACTTGTGATTCTAGGAAGTGGTCACTATTTGCTTGTTATTTGTTATGTTAAGTGTTTACTGTTAAGAACTAGGCATTACTAATTTTATATGAACTTGGATTATATGAATTATTCCAAAAAAAACAGGAAATATTTGAGAAATTTTTCCATTTATGCTCTGGACGCCTAGGCGCGCCTAGACTACGCCTAATCAGGCAAGGCCCAAGTCAGGAGCCGAGCGTCTGCCTTACACCTAACGCCTTTTAGAACCTTGCTAATTATATAGACAATTTTGAACAATTCTTACCCGTTTCAATAGCTCGTTGAAATAAGTTAGATCAAACCCTTTTGCCCCTTTTGGGTCATTTGGCTTCGTGACTCGACTCAAACCAACTCTCATTCAATTCATCAAATCCTAATTTTCATTTCCATACTCTTTCACTCTAAATACCAAACATCTAGTTTTGTCATCTCATTCGAGTGAAAAGAGTGAAAATCTTCAAATAATACGAGAATTTGTATTACAGAAAATTGTATTGAACTTCAAGAAATAACAAATATTATTGGATCTTCTGATGTAATCGATCACATACTCTTACATATGCATAAACTTTAGTTTTTCACGAGATCGACACGTCCTTACAGTTGATCGAACACATAATAGAAGAACGAGAAATCAATGATGCATACTTAACGTGGTTCAAACGCTTAGAGAGACCTTTTACATGATTCAAGGAGGTAGCAATCTATGTTATTAGATGACTCAAATTAACCATTTCTGAAGAATGAGGATTAACTATATACTATACCAGTACCACACATTCCACACGAGCCCTTATTTAGAAAATAAAGAATGGCTAATTACACAATGGTGCACAATTAATCATCAATCAACAATGGGGATACCCGACAAATACATAACTTATATGAGCAATTTCAATGGGGACAAGGGTGAACAACAGTTTTCGTTTAGTTTCATGTAATTGACTTGGCTGGACTTGGATCACAATTGTGCATGATAAACCGGCCTTGTTGCATCAAAAACCACCAATACCACGAAAATTACAGCCTGCAAGAGAACATATAATCAATTAGTAACGGAAGCAATGGTTACCGATTGAACCATCGATCGGTACGTACGACAACGACTTAGAACTTTTCTTGTACTAGAAGCAAGAGGGATCGAAGAAGGGAGCTTACAAGAACAGTACAAGCAAGGAATCCGGGCTTCTCGCGGTTGTCGTGCTTGGAAAATAATAGAAATCCAATTCCAAAGAACCACGGAAAGGCGAGCAAGAATCCCAATATAAACCTTATATCATGAGAAAACGGATAAATTAGCATTAGCTTGTCAAAATTCCCAATGAAATGAACATAATTACAAACAAATTCGGTAACATTGCTTCATTGTAGAATGCCAACATGCACGACCGTCCAGAAATCTGATTTTAGCCACAAGATGTCACCTAAGAGGTTCAGTCGACCATTCATCAATGTAAAGGAGTTACCCACAATCATATCATAATTTGCTCACCGAGTTGTTTCATTATTGAAAATTTTGTCATGAGTTGAATTATATAACATGAATCTTGTATTAAATTTTGTACAAATTTAGATTCAACTTGGTGCTAAATGTACATTTTTTTTAACCATGACCAAGCTGTTATAGTTATTCTATTAATTGATAATTACCCTTTTAGCGACCAAAACAAACAATCACGGCCTTAAAAGAATGTATACCATCGCCGGTGCCAATAGTCGCGAAATTACTCATTTCAGCGACCATATGGTTTGGTCACTAAAAACTTAGTCACTAAAAATATTCACCAACCACCATTGTCAATGCCCGAAAAAGTTAGCTACTAAACCACTAACAAGACAAAATAGATTACTGTCAAAAAAAAAAAAACAAGACAAAAAGAGATTGAAAGAACGTGACTTACAAGAACCATCCGATACCCAAGCCACAGAAAGGCAGCCGGCCGTCAACATCCGAATGCTTATCTTCGCCGACGGGACAATGGTCCGTTACAATAGAGTTCGTCACCATTTGTCGTGGATGGCCAGGATACGGTGTTGCGGGTGCACCATAAGCAAGTGCATTGGGGATGTTGATTTGCTGTTGACGATAATGTTCACCGTAACATTGATCGGCGGCGGGGGACTGCTGGTGGTGGCGGTGATGATCATAAGGAAGAGCATAGGGTTCAACCATGACGGAAAGCACAGCTTGTGGTGCCGACGGCAATGGCGGCTGCGGTTGCTGTCTTTGCTGGTCACCCGCACTCCTTAGTTCCCCCATTTTGGTATTGGTGGGTGATTAACTCGATTTAAGTACGTGATTCGAGAGTCGAGATCGAGATTAGCGAGTGGTTTAGTGATATGATGATGATGTGATGTGATTTGTGATGTTTATGATAAGTTTGATTATGTATAAGTAGGAGGTGGATTGTGTAATACGGTTGGTCCAGGGTATTTCTTGGTTTGATCGGTTGGACCACCATGCTAAAAACTAGTTGTATTATTATGGGTCATAGAAGGGTTTGAGTTTTGGGATATTACTCAGGAACGGAAAATGAACATGTACAAGACTTTTGACTTGTAAATCGGGTGGTTCTGTTGACTTGTTGGCCTGTTGGGTTTATATATACTGGACCGGAAGCCTAATAGTAACAACCAGAATAATGGGCCGAAACAAGTGAACGAGATATGTTAATGGGCCGCGTTTGGTCCATGATGATCCGGATATGAATCCGGAGCAAATGACACTTGTAGCATATAAGGATGATTCTAGGTACTACGGTATAAATTCAAAGTTTCTAAATCTTATTAGGGTGCGTTTGGATAAGTGTATTTTAAATGTAAGGTATTTGAAATGGATGTATTTGAAATATTAGCATTTGAAATACATGTAATTCAAATTCATTGTTTGGATACTTATTTGTAATTTGTTTGTATTTTGTATTTTATGATTTTCAATTTCAATTTTTAAATTTCTGGTCACTTACTACAAATTTTGGTAAATTACAGTTTGATACCCAAATTTATTTTTTCTTGCAATTTAGTACCTAAACTTTTAAAATTTTACAAAAAGGTCCTGAAATTTTGATGGTAAAATTACATTTTGGTACCTTTATATGTTTTGCCTCACACTATAATACCTAAACTTTTCATATTTTACAAATAGGTCCATTCTTTTGTTAGGAGGTATTTCAAATCACTAGTTGTTGAAATGTATTTGGAGTTGACAAAAAATACACTAGACATGTATTTGGAAATCACCCCATGAATTTGACACAAATCCAAATACCAAATGAATTAGTATCCAAACACATGATTTGGTATTTAGAAATCCAAATCACAAATACCAAATCCAAATCATTGTATCCAAACGCACCCTTAAGGAATTGTAAATTCGAGTAGGTGGTGGTAGCGAAAATAATTGAGGTGAGCATGTATTTTTTTTCTTCAAAAGATAACCAAATTTGATTAAAAGATAGATCAATCATTACAGTCTGGAGCCAACCCAGAAATAGTAATCATACAAACGACATGAAGTCGGAGACAAAGAGAAGGCTTTGCGAGCCATTAAATGGACTAAAAACTACTTCTATTTTTCTTTCAACGAATTAACAATCAAACTTTATGGATATGTCAACATAAATACAAAATAACCTCAAATCCAATCAATAACCCCTCACAATCCAAAACTAAATGAAAACAACTTTAAACAAGATACAGATAAATGACTTTGTTTCCCATTCCACGAACAGTTTAGATGACAGTTTTATGAACCGTTCTAAATTCTAGTCCTAAATTTAGGGACGGTACGTCATTCGAAAACAATTTCAAAAAATTAAACTACTAAATTGCATCTGATTTGACTCACAGATAAACTATCGAATTTCTCAAAAACATCACACAATATAAAAAGTGATTGTACCAAATGAACATACCATCTCGAATGGCTAGTATCTCAACGAGATAAGGGTCAAGAAACACAAAGTGAATCCATTTATCCAAACATCCCTAGCTCGAGGAGGAAAAAATGGGCCCCTATTGGTACTCTTGTCGATGACCATAATTATTATACGTTTTTATGCCGACGACCCATCAATTTACAAACATAATAATTAATGGTCCAACTGTCCGGTTCGACATGGGTGTGTGGAAATCAAGTGAACACATTGTTCGCCAGCACGTGGCTCTACTCACTGCCAGAAACTAACAATTCGATCGGTCATCATACGCTATCCATAACCATCATCTCAAACTCATCCTCTCATTCCCATTTTCATGTTGGATAATTAGACCTAATTAATTTGATACAATTTTTTTTTTTGCAGGATTAATCTAGATCCACAAATATCACCAACTTATAAGAGTATCATCGTGAAGAGCTGGTACAAGAAGTCGTTGAATAATGCTCAGTTCATAATCAGATTAGAGTTTAGGATTTTCTGAGTTTACGCTTCAAAATTCAGAGGAAAAAAAAATTTAGATGCGTATAGATAGATTCATCTGAGTTAGAGAATAAACTAAAAAGTTCCATTCATGTAGGTATGAGTTATATATCGCTCAATTTCGCTGAAAAAGAAACATTATTAACATACTAATAACTAGTTTTTTATGTCAGTATAGAAAAAGATAACATCATTATTGAGTCAAAATTGTAATACTAACTTCCGATATCGCGACAATACCATGCAGCTGTTTCGGAGCCTCATATCATTGTTGTCATGTTGGTGGAATGCTAACCGATTGAACGTGGTATAACCGATTCCGGTCCTAAAAATTAGTGGAGTTATTTCGTGCAATTTTAGTGGATTAATTGTGATCGTATTGTGATATACGTACTCCACATATTCGGCAGAAATGATGGCGCAGCTTCCTAACTTGGCGTGTAGTGGATTTTTTCAGGTGTACAATCTGAACTTTTTTTCCTTGATAAATATACCATTTATCCTTAATAAAATGAGTTAATACCTTAATTTGGTTCGAACTATACACATACTTTCTACTTTGGGCCGTGGTATTGAAAATTGCTATTCTGGCCTGAACTATGTAGCAAACTTCCTCATTTGGCTCGGAGGCGGGTTTGACCGTTAAATTAGACGGTCAAACTTATTGACCGTTAGTCAATGTCCACCTCACCTGCCACGTCAGCTTTGAGGACATAAAAAATATATTTTTTTTATTTCTGAATTTTGTTTTCCTTCAATTCATTAAAATAATAAATCAAACTAAATAATAGTTCAGGCCAAACTAAGGTATTAACCCTAATAAAATAAAAAGACGATTACTATAGAAAACAGCGGCGGGAAAAAGTACGAGCGACAATTCTAAGGCTATCCAAGCAAGGAAATGACGTAAGGAAATCTGTCACCACAGGCCTTGCCTTTATAAAAATCTCCAAACCATGGCGTCTATATATATATTATATTATATCCTTACCCTTTTTGAGAAAGACGTTGCAACACTTCACTCTAAAATGGAAACTTACAGCAAAACGTCGGTGGTTTTGGCGGTGGCGGCGGTGGCCGTGACGGCGTGGCTGTGGAGGGTGGTGAACTGGCTGTGGATCAAGCCCAAGCGGCTGGAGGGACACCTGAGGAGCCAAGGCTTCGACGGCCGGCCGTACCGGTTTCTGAAGGGAGATCTGAAGGAAGCCCTGGAGATGCTGAAGGAAGCTCAGGCGAGGGAATTGGACGTCGCCGACGACGCCGCCCTCCGCGTCTTCCCTTTCCCTTACTACACCGTCAAGAATTACGGTACGTCGGCGGCGGTGGTACCTTCCTTCCTTCTCTCTCTCTCATCTATAATTGATTTGATAGGGGCAGTTTGCAGAGGCGGTCACCAAATTTTGAAGTCACTGACGATTTGGTCACTGAACTTTAAACCACGTTTTTTTTTCATTTCGATTTAATTTGGTCTCCCTCGAGCATATGTTGTGTTTATGGTCATCCCCGCTTTCTCATGTGTTTTAGGACAGTTTGACGAACTGCAAACTGGGTTATTCATAGAGTTGTGCAAAAAGTCTGATGTTTGATGATATTTCTTTTAGAGCTAGCTTCCTTTGTGTTTTAGGGTAGCTTCATTTCTGTTCGTGTAAAAAGGTTTCCCGGGATGAGATGTCTTGTTGTTGGTTGTATCTTTCCCTGTAGTTTGTTGGGTTAGTTTGCATGGACGAGTAGGGGTGACAAAAGGATTTAGCGAGTGTAATTTGAGGCAATAATGCATGTTTTCAAAGAGCTTGATTTGAATTGATTGTGAGTCAAAATAAATCATTATGTCGACACGGGTATGCTGATTAGGGTATATATTTATACAGGGCGCTGCAATTCCGTATCGAGTTCGTTTATGTTTTGTGACAAGAAATTATATATTCTCAACTAGATAGATTAGTTAACTTTATAGATGAATCTCATGATTAATTAAGAAACAAAAATACAGTGACCGATTTGTCAATGACTCGGAAATTCAATAACCATTTTACAATTGGCCGACCATTAATGATCAACTACTAGAAGTTTGGTGGGTTCCTATTACCTACCATATTTTTACCTCCTTTTTGGCTGGACTCACGATGGACTATTCTAACTTGCTACCAAGGTCAAGTACCTTAATTTCTTGTGTCGTTTTTCCATTGTTTTTAATATCAACACAACTTTGTATTTTTGGTCGGGAAATGGATGGTCAAGTACGTTTAGTTGATGATTAAGCGACCGAGGAATTTTACAACGTTTTAAAATATTGGTGCTTTAGTTTTGTACGTTATGGTATAACTTCAAGTTGTATCTTGTATGTATACTCTTTTGTATAAATTTCTTTATAGTACAACTTCAATTTGTATCGTTAACGCTATGGTACAACTTTAATTTGTACTTTAAAACACCAACACTTTAAAGTATAGTAGAAGCGCTCTCTAAGGAACCAGCCGTATCTAAATTGGATCTCTCTAAATTACTGCAGGGAAGAAATCGTTCACATGGTTTGGACCCGTGCCAAGGGTGCACATCATGAATCCCGACCACATAAAAGAAGTGCTCACCAAAATTGACGAGTACCCAAAGTTGAAGGGCAACCCACTGACGAGGCTGCTGGTGACGGGGCTCGCAAGCTACAACGGCGACAAATGGGCACAGCACAGGAAAATCCTCAACCCTGCATTCCATCAGGAGAAGCTCAAGGTACGAACGTAATTCCATATATAAATAAAAGATCTCGAGAAAGAAAATAGTTTAACCGCTAAGGGATAACAGGCTGATCTTCACCAAGAGCTCACATCGACGGTAATGTTTGGCACCTCCATCGATGTGGGCTCTTCGCCACCTAGAGTTGTAGTATGTTCCAAGAGTTGCGCTATTCGCTCATTAAAGCGGTACGAGAGTTGGGTAATCTAAAATTTTTTTTTTTTTTTTTTTTTTTGTTACACAGTTGATGTTGCCAGTTTTCTATAGAAGCTCTAGAGAGATGGTTGATGAGTGGGAGAGGGAGGTGATGAAGTCCAAGGGAAATGAGACTTGTGAACTGGATGTGTGGCCTTACCTACAGAGCATGACATGTGATGTAATTTCGAGAACGTCATTTGGAAGCAGTTACAAAGAAGGTGCAAAAACTTTCCAACTGCTCAGAGAAATGGCCACTCTTATCATGCAGATTGTCCGACAAGTTTATATACCAGGATGGAGGTAACTAAAATCAGATCATTTCACACGCCCCTCGATCGAAGAGTTATTAGAATCAACTGATAACATTTAGTTTAACCATATGTGTTTCTTCTTTTTCTTTCTTTGACCAGGTTCCTACCAACCAAAACAAACACGAGGATGAAACGAGCATACAAGGAGATCCAGGAAGCAATTCAGGGGATCATCAACAAGAGAGAGAAGGCGATGAGGACGGGCGAGATCGTCTCCAACGACGACCTGCTCGGTCTGATGATGGAATCCAACAACAACAACAACCACCACAATGGCAAGAACGGGATGATGACACTGGAGGACGTGATCGAGGAATGCAAGTTGTTCTATTTCGCGGGCCAGGAGACCACCTCCACACTTCTGGTGTGGACGATGGTCCTTCTCAGCAAGTACCCCGCGTGGCAAGAACGTGCGAGACACGAGGTCTTGCACGTCCTTGGCACCGACAACGAGGTCAATGCCACCACCCTCGATTCGAGCGCCCTGGGCCAGCTCAAGACCATGACCATGATCATGCACGAGGTCATGAGGCTGTATCCTCCAGTGATGCAGATGACTCGAGCTGTCGAGAGAGATACGAAGATGGGTGATTTCGTTCTGCCGGCGGGGACACAGTTGGCCCTGCCGACGATCCTCGTCCACAAGGACCCCGAGATCTGGGGGGACGACGTGGCGGAGTTCAGGCCGGAGAGGTTCGCCGACGGGGTTTCGAAGGCGACGAGGAGTCACAACCAACAGGGTGCTTACTTCCCCTTTGGCTGGGGTCCTCGAATCTGCATCGGCCAGAATTTTGCTCTCATGGAGGCCAAGATTGCTTTGGCGATCATATTGAAGAGGTTTTCGTTTGAGCTTTCGCCGTCCTATGTTCATGCTCCATCCCCCGAGGCTCCCATACTTCAGCCACAGTTTGGTGCTCGACTCATCCTCCATAAGCTTTGAACATAAACCTGTTGCCTGTATGCTGATTGTGAGCTATATGTTACTGAGAAATAAAGTGGACGACTTTTGGCGACCCTATTTAGAAGCGTTTCGGTGACCCGTAAACATGAATGCACATCTTTTAAACTTTACAATGCGATTTTGAGTACATTTCTTACAAAGCAGCATTTGCGTTTGACTTCATCAAACAACCGTTTAGTTTATAATGAAATACGGAAGACACGCTTACTAAACATGAAGTCACGATGACCTAATAGAATGGATACGATTCGAGCAGAAATTTTTATCATAGAATAGGTTAGACAGAAGAAGAAGAAAAAAATGATTTATGATAGCTTGTATTGTTGATTTTAGAAATGACACATATCAACTCCGTTGAAGCATATGGCAAATGGATGATTGAATGAAATCAAATGGTAACAAGTTAGGGAACAGAGAAAGATAAAGACGCAACTTTCTTTTTATCAACTATGCGCTTAACTAGACCGTTCATATATAATTAGCATTGACGTGTCCAACACTCAATTGCTTTGCATGGGAATTTGTTGTCGGTAATCTTCATTATGTTGATGGGTCTCCTGTGAAATTTATGTCAGTGAGCATTATCAAAATCACCATCAGATGGGATTTGGGATGCAAGGACAACCACATTATGCAGACAGAGAGGCTGTGCCTTTTCAAAGCGAGGAGGGCTGAAAATAAGAATCTCTTGACAATTAAACCTAGCTGAATCTCGTAGAAATGGTAGCTAAAAGGCATCCTCGTCTTTCACTTTACATATACCATTCTGGAGAGGGTCTAGTAGAATCTTATACGATTTTCTTACATGTCCATCGAACGAAAGTGAATTTTGTACACGCTCGTCATACAATAACATGTTTAATTCAACTTTTATATCGTCCATGGTCATGACGACTCGAACACAAAACCATACCGTCGAGCCAGCTTGTATACCGTATCATAAACTGTTTGATGACAAACAACTCGAATTATTGATACCATATTCCACCAAAGACCACTTCGTTACAATACAATATTCCAACTGATCATTAACCTTTAGACACCTAGAAAGTTTTGCAAGAGAGCTATCTCTAAGCCCTCTCATTATTTTTTCAGACACGTACAAAGGTTTTGATGAGCAAACATTACAAATTACCATATCATCAAATACGAAACAAAAACATATAAACCATAGTCACAACACTTATTTTGTATCTTATGCATTGATTGTTGGTGGTGATCAGGCAACGGCTTCAGTAATGTCCTGGAAAGCGCTCTCGAGGAAATCCAGGTATTTGTATGGAGGTGGGCAACTAGGGTTCAGCTTCTCATACTCCACCGTGATGCTAACAATGCTGCCATTGCCACTGCCACTGCCGTCGGCGGCAACATCTTTCGGCTTGATCTCGAACTTGGCTGTGTACACTTTGTACAGCTTCATTGCGTCTCCTTCCAGCCCGATCAAGGTCACCAGCTTCTTCTCGTCGTCGAACAACATTTTCTCCTTCAACACCTCCGGCTTCCCGTCTGATTAACAGTTGAATCACATCATGTATATAAGTCTGTTTTTTTAGGGTATGTAGAGGACAACTATGGTGAATGGAAATTAGGGTTTGGTAATTCGTTACCTAGAGTGTACTTCCAGTTCTTGATCGATCCAGAAGTCTCCCAATCTCCTTCGTGGACCTCAACTCCATGGATGTTCTTCGAGGTGTGGTTGGGGATGTGGTGTGATGTTTTCCTCAGCACATGGTACACTTTGTCGGCAGATGGTTTCACTTCCATCTCACACTGCAACTTCCCCTTCATCGCCATGGCTACTAGTACCTCTAGCTCTCTCTCTCTCTCTGTCTCTCTTTAAGCTTACTCAACAATGGCGAACATTGGCTTGCCCTTATATAGAGAGGGGGGGAGGGGTTTGGTTGGTTTGTTTGAGCTTCTCTGCATTAAAAATGTACAACCAACATGGCCGTAGATGGGACCAGGCATGCACAGAAGCACGTCTTGTCGTGTATGTCGAAAAAGATTTACATTTACTTTCTTAATTCATGTATCGTTTTATTGTAAAAACTAGGGCCGATAAATAGACCAGACCGTTTGAAAAATTGTAGACCAAACCGGACCGTAGATCGTGAAGAATGATCTGGTCTGGTCTGGTCCCATGGTCTGTATTGTATGAAGTTTTGATTTTTTGGTTTGGTCTGGTCTAGACCGCAGTTTATCGGGACCAAACCTTGGATCTAGCCAACTTCCTAATACATGTTAGTAGCCCACTTTGACCACTCTCCCAACTCCCCCAACGAGACTCAAGTCTCAACCTTAATTTTCAGAATCTCGTCCGCTCCTTCATTCACAACCACATTTCACCAGAGAGTAGAGACGGTCGTGTCTCCATATGACATTATGTTAATGTTTGTGACGTTATGGTGCGAGTTGGGATTATTAGACTTTGTATCTTTGTTATTTACTAAGATTTAGGGTATCAAAATTATTCATCCATGTTGAATTTTATGTTTTAAGACACAAAAAAAAAACCAATTGTTTTTCTCGTTATTGGTTCAATTTTCAGTGTGGTTGACTTAACAAAGTGTTCATTTTTCGTTCATTGTGGTCTATCTAGACCAGACCGCACAGGCGTTGTCTGGTCTAGACCGTATAGTATGTGATCTGGTCTCTGGTCTATATGGTGTGGTCTGGACAGTCCACACCGTTTCCCAGCCCTAGTAAAAACTAAGTTCTAGTGTTAACGATTGAGAGAATTGATGGCATCAATGTTAACCAAACTAACAACCACTTGGCTTAATGTCTCCACCAAATATATGATAGATGCAAGACACATTATCTTATCTACTCGAAAGGTCTCTGTTGGAGCAGGTCAGGAGGTGAAATGATTTTTGAGTGACTGAAATGGAAATGTCATTAAGCAAACACCACTCAAATGCTAGGCCATACCGCCATTGCTATAGACAGACAGACTGTCCATCCATCTTTATTTAGAACGTGGGGAATCAACAAGCATGGCCAACTTTCATAAAGAACAGCATTGATTTGGGGGGGTTGAATGCCACTGATCCTCATTACTGACGCGACAGCGACGAGCCAGTCAGGCTGCTGATAGACTGCCACACAGCTGGGATCTAGCGCCGAGGACCACACCATTTATGCTGTTAACTGTTAAGTAATAGCAAGAGAGGAAGGTAGGGAACCAACTAACCATTCTAGTTCTAGCAAAACTTCAGTGGTGTCGTGTGATCAGCATGTCCACAAGAGGTACAGATGGATCAGTTGCTTGCGTTGCTTCTGGAAATGGAAAGATTTGCGTGGATTAATCCAGCTCGGGACAGACAGCTTGTTGTAGCGAAGCCAATAGGCAGAGTATCCCTGTGCCCGGAATCTGATGACTGTCTCTCACTGCAGTGAGTGAAAGCCATTTAAGTCGTGCACTTAGAACAGAAAGGAAAAAAAGAGGAATTGCAGTCTTCCTCTTCAAACGGTTCGAGAGTTGCGTGTCCAAACACAATCCAGGGAGAGTTCTTGTTCATTCAGCAAGTACTCAACCAATAGGGCATAAGGCACTAGCTAGATCAACTCTGCAAATCATGGGTTGTAAAGAACAAATACCAAGGAAGTGCTAGAGCAAATTGCATGTAAATACCTCTGTACATTTCAGCTTCATTTAGTCTCTGAGTTGCAAATACAGGGAGCTATGCTCAACTGATAGTGTTATCATTCGAGCATTCATTAGCTACACGCCCTGATAAATATCACATGCTCACATTTTGATCTGCTATTTCAACATCTAAAAACTACCAAGAAAGTAACAGCAAGGTTCCAAAAATATCGAGGAGATGTCATTTCCATCGAATTAGGCAAACATGTTATGGACAAAAGTACGTAGGGAACCTTGAACAGATGATTACAAACCCAGGCAACTAGATACCTTTCAGTATCTGTGTTCATCACAAATAGCCGAAGTCTCCAATTGGCCAAACCTGGTGGCGAAAAGACAGATAAATTATGTTTCTTCAGGCCAATTACATCAATATACCGAAACCGAATCCAAAGACAGTAACTTTACAGAAACCAAAGCCATTGAATTCACACCGAAACCGAATCCAAAGACAGTAACTTTACAGAAAATCCGAGCACTGCGATATCAACACTCAGCTCTCCTTCTACATGTAAACCTTTCATGCATCATTCTAGAGACTAGAAACAGATCCTGCAAACTTAAAGTACTCCTGGAACTCTTGTTGGTTAAAGAAACTTCCTTTTGAACTCAGCCACCCAAAATTAAGTCTCATCCTAATCTCATAGTCAGAAACTCAGACCCATACGTAAGTTCCCGTTTCACCTAATCAGCCATGACAATAGGGGATTCCTCTAATTTCAATCACCCAAGCAGCAAGTTCAGTTCAGAAGTAGAAACAAAGTGAAAAGCAAGAAAGAAAGAAATACTTACCCTTAGAAATGCTCTCCCTTGAATCAAACCATAAGGAACAGCACCAAAGTATCTGGAATCAGCAGAAGCATAGACATTGTCCCCCCTGAATCCAGACGTGGCCTTTTGGAACCTGCAACCCAAAATCCACTTGATTCAGCCCTTCACCCACGAAGCAACAACAGCCAAACAAGAATCAAACATCGAATAACGAAACCCCCTAGTTTTCCCTACCAGGACAGTGCGGGAGCTCTCGCTGTAAGAAGGCTCCGTGAGGTAAGTAACTCGATCGCCCTCCATTCCAACAATCCGCTTCGCCACAATCTTTTTAGGATCGACGGGAGAACGAACCAGCAAGATATCGCCAGGTTCGAGCTTCCCCAATCGATGGGACAGGTGTTCGATCAAGACCACGTCGCCGGAGTAATTCAATGTCGGGACTCGGGAGCATGCTGGGGCCTTGAACGAGAGTTGTGGAGCAGAGGTAGTCGTCGGTGATGTGAATGAAGGAAAGGAATTGGGCGGCGATTGAAGCTTGCGCTACGGCTTCTCGAGCGGCGGATTTCCATTGCTTGATGTAGCTCAGAAGTTTCATAATCGCTAATGGCGGCGTCGGAGAAGCAGGCGCGCGGCTGAGCTATTGGGGTGAAGGCCAAAAAAGGTAAATGCCGCATTTGGTCACTAAGATTACTAAAATCGTGTCATGTTTAGTCATTAGAAAAATTTAATATCAATTTTGGTCACTCGAATTACTGAAACAGTTCACATTTAGTCACTCTCCCGTTAGCCTCCATCAAACTCCAGTCACTCGAATTACTGAAACATGTCACATTAAGTCACTCGAATTACTGAAACATGTCACATTTAGTCACTCTCCCGTGAGTTTCCGTCCAACTCTATTAATGGAGTTGGACAGAAACTAACGGGAGAGTGACTAAATGTGACCTGTTCCAGTAATTCAAGTGACCAAAATTGATATTAAAATTTTTTAGTGACTAAACATGACACGATTTAGTAATCTCAGTGACCAAATGCGGCATTTACCCGCCAAAAAAATTACAATAAACCTTCCGGATAAATTACATAAATGACAATCAAATTTTTCGATTGCTAGCAAAGAGTACACAGATTCTGGATTTTGGACGAACTCGTCCCTTAAGAATCATCTTTAATCTTTTACAGTCCCAGTTGGGTCTGCTCTGTTTCATGGGCCCACTTACCCAGTAGCCCATAAAGCCCAACACCAACGTGGGACAGAAACGTTTCGGACCCTTGGAATTAAAAGGAAACCATTTCTTGCAGGAAAATATAGTGAAGAAAGAATCTGTACAGTTAACCACATTGAATATTACATTTCCAGAAGAAGAATCTGAAACTATGAATGTACAAAGCTGCCACAAGAGATCTTCACAATTGGCCAGACAGCAGGGGGGGCTTGTTCGACATTCCGCCCATTTTATTGTGTATATACCATCATCGTGCAGCAAGTAGCTTAAGCTGCAAGTAATTATCAAGAACTGGTTCATCCCAATGTAATACTTACAGTAGTAATACAGCAAGTCCCGTTCATTTTACTCGATCCTCTCAAGATTGTACAGCACGATTTCCTCGAGTGCAGAACGGAAGGAGCCTCGAGGAAGGCACTCGAGGTTCTGGATTGCTGCAACAGCTTTCTCCTTGGCCAGTTCCTGTGCTCTCTGGATTCCTCCACATCTCTGGACCAAGTCGATGGCATCCTGGAGAGAACCTTCCTCGACGAATTCAGACTCGATGATGTCCCTGAGTTTAGGCTCTTTCTCCAGAGCGAATATGACTGGTGCAGTCAGGTTCCCCTTTGCCAGGTCGCTCCCAGCTGGCTTCCCTAGCTGCTCAGCCGACTGGGTGAAATCGAGGATGTCGTCGACTACCTGAAAGGATAGGCCGAGGTTCTTGCCGTATTCGAACATGCTCTCGGCCACACTGCTGTCTACCCCGCTGAAAATGGCGGATCCTTTGGTGCTAGCTGCGACTAAAGAAGCCGTCTTGTAGTAGCTCTTGATCAGATATTCTTCGAGCTTGACGTCACAGTCGAACAGACTCGATGCTTGCTTGATTTCGCCACTAGCGAAATCTTTGATCACCTTCAGCATCAGAGGTTTCCAGTTTAGCCTTGTCTGTATTAATACATAGCTGCATCATTCGATAAATGGAAGAGGGCTACCAGACTTTACCTGGCTGATGAGTTTGATGACTTCAAGGTTTTCGAGATTGGCCAAGTACCAAGATGACTGTGCAAACATGAAATCCCCAGCAAGTACTGCTACCCTCGTACCGTAGAGTTGATGAACTGTTTCCTTACCTGCAAAAGACACCATCAAATGGTGTAAAGGGATGTTTCGAGAGTTACTCACATTAAATAGACAGACGTCACATACCCCTTCTTAAGTCGCTTTCATCCAACACATCATCATGTATTAGACTTGCTGTATGGATCATCTCGATGATCTCTGCTAGACGACGATGATTCGTTGTTAGTTCCCTGTAAAAGAATACTGCCTTACATTTGTTGTATAATCTACTTGGAAATGTAAACTGTGAATCGTTGAGAATGCTGTGTAGAACTAACTTTAAGCCGGACATCTGAGCTGTAGCCCTTGACACAAGGAAAACCAGAGCTGGACGCATTCTCTTCCCTCCAGCACCAAATATCTGCTCAGCTGCTGACATTAAAACCGGGTTCTCTGCACCAACAATCTAGCACAAAGATCTTCTTCATCAGATGAATTCATAACCGTTCCCGATCAGCAAACTAATGCAACATAAAGAACAAAAGGAGTATCATGACAAATGGAAGTGGATGGAACTAACAAAAGAGTATAAAAAGTGGAAATAATGAAACAACATCTCAAGAAAGTTGTACTCATTAACTCCAGTCACTAATGTTCTGTACCTCGATTTAATAGCTACAGTCACTAATGAAACAACATCTCAAGAAAGAAGAAGAGGAAATACTATGGAAATGAGTGAGGTATGTTCCTCTTTACACCCCTTCTTGACGGTTGGTTATTTGAGTCATTTTATAATCATAAATTTAACCATTTGAAGAATATCTACCTGCTCAAACAGTCAGTGACTCAGTGTCTTTCAGGAAGGAAAAATGGAAGAAAGAAAACCTTCAGTGCACGAACATTTTACCAGAAGCTGATTGAGTTTCAAGTTCAACAAACTTTTCATGCGAAATGCAACAAATGACAAAAAAGTCAGCCAACGATTCCCCTAATTTGCATTTAGTTATAATCTTACAATTCCTTGGGCAGAAGCCATCATGATCCATCAGAAACCACGTATGATCTGTTTGTCATTCAATGATTTGACCCAATACATGAACGCACACTAATCTACTGTGTTATATCAGCAACATATCCACATATCGAAAGTAGCAAACTATAATCAGGCAACAGAGAAGACCATTAACATAATCCAGGGCATATAAAAAGCATCATTCATACACTACAGAAAGACAGACCGGCTGTTAGAAACTTGAGTGCTCACTGATTTTAGATTCTGGTTAAGGATCAGTAGGTCGTCAGCTACCACTTCGAACACCGTCCCCAATGAAATTTGACCTCTTTTCACATTGAGCAACACTTCTGGAGTTCCTGGATGTTCACAGTTCAATCAAAAGTTGAGTACTTTTTTACTCCTTTGTAATAGAAAGTACCATGGCATAGCAAATGGCAAGCAGAAATCAAGTCAACATTCTAAATAGAACTATTCACCACAACACCATGACGCTTAAACTGCCCTTTCTGGGTATTCACTATATAGTTCGAGTGCCTTCTTACTGGAAAAGGCAATAGAAACAAATTGAACAAGGGAGCTAAACCCTTTGTACAAAGTAAGCAGTTACCATCCAATAAATTATACTAGTGAACGCAAGAGAAAGGGTCAACTTCATACATACCATTAGGCAGCGTGTCAGCGCTCTTTGTTGAAATGCTTCTACAACGAGCAGAATCTAGACGGCAAGTTACCAATTTTCCAGAACGGCGGACTCCATGAGCCCTTTGGGAGACGGAGCTGTGCAGTGTTTTCCGCCATAGATACCTATCTAATGATGCATTAGAAGAAGTGGAGGCGCAACCCACTAAGTCAACCATTGTCAATGACGCCATTTCTGAAGTGCCCACAAGGGGGAAACCCAAAAAGCTCGAAACTTTGTTTCCCAAATCAAAGACCCAGATAGCGAGTGGGATTCAGCAGTGAAAACAACCTACTAAAGCGAAATGGGCGACCTTGAAATCTGAAGTGGGAGAAGAAAGAAACGAAGGGGAGAGTGAAGAACCAGAAGAAGGGAGGCAAGCTCAGTCGCATTTTGTTTCTGGTTTTTATAAGAGGAGGGAGCATATGAGTTGAAATTGAGTGGATCAGATAAGCCCACATAATAAGAGGATTTGGGATGTCTACGGCCTTTGGTTATTTCATCAAGTTTCTGAGGTCGGTGAAAGTTTTGCACGATAATTATAGTCATAATCTTGATTAAACCTTTGGATGACGAGAGAGATGGCGAATAATGGTATTTTATGGTATCACCAAAACTCAAGATCAAATTCCAAGTACTTGGATGGGAGCTGAGATGCATTGGTTTGGAATTTTTCTTGTTCCCCTTATTTTCTGTGATTTATGTGATCTGCTAAATTTCTGTCCTTATGCTCATAATTTCGGTTTTTAGTCTTTTGTCTTGTGTGCCTAATGACTAATGAGCATATGTCAAGAAGATGCATGTAATGTCATAAAAATATGTTTTATTGGTGTTTAACTCGTATAGAAACTTAAAACCCGACTCATATTTAATAAGTGTTGTACGTAATGTTGTTAAGTGACACGCAATAAATTCAATTTGTCAAATTGAAATACTAGGTAGCCAAAATCAAATGTCATATATTATCTCGTTTAATTAATAACCTAAGAACACAACACCTTACATCATTGTGTAAGTTATCTACGTGAAAACCGTGCTATGTTACGTTTCACATCTAAAACACACTCTATAAATTTAGGATTTCTTATAGCAACATTTTCCTTCACTCAAGTCGAGACCGGAGAGCTTTTCCCTAGTTAAAATTGGTTATGGATCCAACAAAGAAGGGGTTAGTTGAACAAAATAAAAATATACGAACCACAAAAATGTTATAACAGCTTATTAACGACCTTCGATCCTATTTGACCGTGGGATTTTACTTCTCCCATGTATAAAGTATAAACCCCATCACCTGTGTAGAACCCTCATTCATTGAAGCAGAACAAAGAGGGAGGAGGAACACTGACGAACACCAACAGACCAAAACAAAAATGGTGGCTTCAATGATTTTCGCTCCGATCTCCGCCAAACCCTGGAATTCTACTGCAGCAGCTTGTTTCCGACCCGACCCAGTTTCCCCATTCCGCCGCAGAATCATCGCCGGCTCCAACTCCTCATCTCCCTTATCCACAACAGCATTCTTCCCTCTGCAACATTCCGCGGCTCATCAGATCAACAATCTCAGGCTCAGGCCCAGACTTCCCCTTTCTTTGAAAGCTTCTTCTTCTTCTTCAGGTATTGTGTTCAAAAGATCATTCCCCCAATTCCTTATTTTGATGTGCATGCATGTATGGGTTCTCCATTTCCTGTTTTTTATTTCTTAGGGTTCTAGTGAAGAAGTGATCAGCTTTTTTGGTTTTGGGGGAATTTCTGCTCAAAAGCTTGAATCTTTTTGTGTATGCATGCATGAATTTTTGCAATGTGTGTGGAGCAAGAACATCATGTAGGTCAGATAGAGCAAATTTTTGTGCGCTCGGGTGTCCTGAATCTGAATGTAATTCCTTTGAAAATTGTTAGAGGCTTTGTGGGTGGTATCACGGATCAAGAAACGGTATAGGGTGTCAAGAACCAGTTATACTGGGTGTGAAGTTTGCAGAATGTTTGTTATACTGTGTTTCAATCAAGCCCTGATGTTGGACTTGGATTTCGAATCATACAATCAGCCATCAAAAGCTCTGATACAATATTGAGAATCAATTTGTCCCGGTAACTGTTACTTCAGTTGTTGGGGAGGAGTTGAAAAGACTTGCTGAAATTTTGCCAAAGTAGAATGTCTTTCATTTCATCTCTATGATGTTATGAATGCAAAATTGTTATACTCTTTGTGAATCATGTCCTTCTAGTGTTTCTGCAAGGCATTGTTTTTGTTCCTTTAATAGCTTCTGCTACTTGGGGTGCTGAGAAATTTTAGTAGTATTGACAGGAAGAACGTAGCAATTATATTGAACAATAATGAATTATGTTTTGTTACTATCACCAATGTCTCTTGGGATCCTTTGGTGTGGGATTATCAGAATCTAGTGGTTTCAGTGATTCTTGGATCACAACATTGCATGCTCTTCATTGTTACTCTTGCCATGAATTTTGTTGAAGATGGCTGTTGAAAGCCCTGTCTACTTTCACATTTTATGCCCCATTCTGATCTGTGTTGCTATGGGACTCTGGCCTCACAGTTGGAACCACAGAATACTTGGAGGAACCTACAACCAATGTGAAATTCCCAACGTCCTTGAACGTGCCAGGTTGTTCATCAAGCTCGCTATCGTTGCTCGGAACTGGTCAGTACAATTAGAGTTACTAATATCTATACAAGATATGTTCTACGCATTTGCATTCATCGTTAGCAAGAATCAATCAATTGCCTCTTCATCATATATTGAAACACGCCCTCAAGCTAGTTAGAAGCACCCTTTGTGGTGCAGCTTAATTGAGTTAAAGCTCGATAAATAGGTGTTCGAATTCTCTGCAGAGGTGAATTTTAGAACTTGGTTTCTGAAAAAAAACCAACAGCTCGATAACAAGATGCTATTTCTTTTCCAGGATACAGGGAGAAGGTGTTTGCCATCATTGGGGTCAAAGTGTATGCTGCGGGACTGTACGTTGATCAATCCATCTTTACCATATTGACTGCATGCAAAGATCAGTCAGCTGCTGAGATCGAAGCGAACTCATCGTTGTTCACCTCCATTTTCCTTGGTAATGCATATGTCATTAACAAGCTCTAGAAAGAAACATCACAGTAAATTTGATAACGTGGGAGCATTCATTTACTGCAGATGCCTCTGAGAAAGCACTAAGGATTGTCCTGGTAAGAGACGTCGATGGCAAAACATTCTGGGACGCATTGGACGAAGCTATTTCGCCCAGGATCAAAGCACCAGCTGAAGCCGATAAGCCTGCCCTCGCCAAGTTACGAGCCACGTTTGAGAACCGGCCTCTTAACAAAGGAACTGTCTTGTTCTTGACATGGCTGGGTCCCTCTAAAATGCATGTAAGAGTCTGTCACAACTCATTTTTATGCAGAACGTTGTCACATTTTTCGGCGATCTTGATTGGCATCTGCTGGTTTCCAGGTCTGCGTGGAAGGCGACGCATCTTCTGGTGCAGATGCAACGATTGAATCGATGAACGTGGCTGCAGCCCTTTTCGATGTGTTCTTCGGCGATTCACCTGTTTCTCCCTCCCTGAAAATGTCTGTTGCTACGGGGCTGGCAGTGGGTCACAAGTGAACAACACATCATGCCACCATTTTTGTTAGTTTCCAAGTTGTTCAGTGTTGCTTGTAGAGCAAGTGAATAACCGCTTATGCAATTATTTTTTTTTTATTTTTTTTTGGGAAAATGAGTAACTATTGTATTCATCGTTGTATTGATGCTATTGCTCAAATAACTAACACATGTCTAACTATACTTTTAGCTCATAATATATTTCAGCTCATATATTATAGGTAGCTGACAAATTAAAAAAGGGGAATAATTAATCACTTGCTAATTGGCATCTTGTGATAGTTAGTTAAAAAAAAATCACGTGTCTGTATGTGTAATAATTCAATGATGAACCTCCACGTTGTTGGTCTAATCAAGAAAATTGGGTGGAATTGACCAAACCCGATCCACGCGGATTCTTTCTCAACGATTCTTTCTCTCTTCAAACAAAAGAGGTTTGGGTAAAATCATAAGGCTTTGTTGGAAAACGTGGTTAATTGTTTTTTTTTTAATAATAAACGTGGTTAATTGTTAGTTGTAAAATTACTCGTTAATTAGATAGATTGGAATGAAGAAAGCAATCTAGAAGGAATTGATGATGATTGATGAAGGCGGTGGCAACGTTGGGACGTGGAGTTCCTAACTACTCGCATATGATATTTTAGAAGTGAGACGAGAAGGAGAAAAGTACACTCTTTTCCGCCAACTAATATGTTGAAAGTCTAGACTATTTGGTGAACTATCCAACATGAGAAATTAAAGTGTGATCTATTTCCATGAGTTTGATAGGTACTTAATCCGCAATGAAATTATCATCCTAACAAATATAATGACTAATTAGTCTGACTACACATTCAATAAATAGAGAATATATCGCGTAGGAGCAATGTGATGCAGGTTGAGTGTGTTGTATGTGATCGATCTATTGGATAAACCAGAGCGTGACCTTGATGTGCATGGGTATACTCTCATTGTAAGACTACTTAATTATCATTCTGACCCCATTTCTCGATCAAACCGTACATTAAGAGTGTGAACGAACGTCATTATCTCAACTTTAGTAACGGTTCCACCTCTGAAATTGACATAACCCGGCTTCAAAATAGCAAAGATATATAGACATATCCATCTATCTAATTATTTATAATCTTTTTTTTTTTTAAGAGAAGATAGAAATATTTTGGATTGTAGATTGATGAGTATATAGAAGTAATAGAACTATCTAGCTAGAGACCCAACAAACAACACCCACATTGCTACACCGACAAGATTCCACCATCCAAAAACCCTAAATTGAATAATACATTTTTATGGAGTGATGGATGCTTCCCCACAGTTTGGGAACACGACCTCCCAACTCCCCTCGCTCGCTCACATATCGCCATCTTTCCTTTTGTCATGCTCCTTCATTTTCCTTCTTTATTAATTAGTAGGTCATACTCATTGCTTCTTTCCTTCTATTTAAATCCAATTCCATTTCACCTTTCTTTTCTCCTTAGCATATAATATCAAAATGCCGACAGTGTACTTGAGCTATATACGGTCATACTTGAGCTATATACGGTCATATGTAGGTCATACTCGAGTTATCGAAAGATGTTCAATAGTGAAATCTTATTTCATTTACTAACACGTACGTAACGATAGAGATACCAATTGGGTCATAGCCGGATCGGACCATGTTTGAGTTTGGTAATACAAGTCTAGTGGAGGCTATCGATTAACATTATAAGATCGACTTTCTACGAGATATAATACCTATATAGACACTGAAATCATGAAAAGAATCGCATTCGATGAAGATGACCTGAAAACAACCCACAAGTGTGGATCAAGTTTTATTAGGTGATGAATTCAATGGATGATGACCCTTCCCAATAATACTCATATGTGATTATTATTATGCATTTGAAATACATGCTTTGAGGTACCCAAAAATGGGTACTTTTCAAACAATTTATTTACTTATCCACGCGTGAGGAATTGACATTCTCTCATTGTTATTGTGTACAAAAGTACACACACATGTAAAACGGGGAAAGGGAAGCCACGTACGTACTGAAACCTTCATTGCATGCATGCGTGTTATATAAAGTTCAATCCAGTTTGAAGGTACATAACGATTGCTTTAACACAGAAGCGGTCGACCGTTTTCTTGTATGAGTGTTTAGATCCGTTCGAATTCATTCAACAAAAATCGCTGTATCGTGATGTGGTGGATGTGAGTGAGCATTGACGGGTCATAATTCTTATTGCTTGATATAAACACACGATATCTCTTTTAAATTTTGTAAATAATCTAAATAAACTAATTCAGTTTCATGATGATGGCCTAGTTAGAGTGATGGATAATTAAGAAGACCATTACATCATGTGGGACACGATAATTGTTTACTTTATTAATTAACAAGTCGTGACTGTTTTGGTGAAGTCAAGTCCGATTTCATTAGAAATTAGTCTCAGCACTATTATGTTCCATGAAATTATAAGAAGAAATCACACAGAAAGCTAATTATATACAATCATAATTAGTTCCTTTGAAGTTTGAAAGAGGAACCCTATATATATTTTTTTCTTTTAGGATAACAACAATAATAATGAATCAAAAAGCAATAATGATGCCGCAAAGCAGAATCAAAGATCCGTTTATCGGGTTTAATTGGCATGCAACTTTCCATAAAAGGATTGGCTGCTGGTAAAAGCATGGCTTGGTATGTGTAAGATTCCCATCATAGCATGGATTTATTTGACCAAATAATAATAATTAGGCTGCCAAAACCATGCTTTTGCCAATAATATTATGTTTGAGTTCTACCCATCAATGATATAATTCTATTACCCATGGTTACCCATTCCACCAAATTTGCACCCAACAATTACATTAGAATAACTCGAATTGTCAAATAACGAAAACCCTGATTACTGTTTTTTTTTTTACTATTCAATTCGCTCTCACATCATACAACAACCGAATACCTTCAACCCTGATTTGAATGTTCGGTTTGAGATGAATGTCACAATACGGATTTAATTAAGCCAAAAAACAACAACTTCACCCCACAAGCAGATCGTAGGCCAACAAAGTTAGAACAAGTAGCCAATAATTCGAGCAGTTCGTTCAATCAATTACCATATCTCTGAGCTTATTTTAGAGCTTCGCCGAGATATCATTTTGTTTGGAATTCAAATCTGATTGGAACAAATGATGGATTGTATGACAACTTTGCCCTCACTTGATTTGAGAGCTTTGAGAGAGCCTAGTTGATTACATATCGTCATAAAAGAAATTTTTTTAAAAAATGTAAAAGTATCTTTATTTTTTTATTATTGTCCAACAAATTAGGTAGGTCGAGTATATACATATTATTTTCTCCTTTGTAGCTTCAATTTACGACCACAAAAATAATACATTGTGCGCCTCTCGCGTCCGTCCTTATCTTTCATTTCTTTATGAAATGTTAATAATGGTGGCCCTTCACATAAAACTTAGCCCCGACTAGATATTGGAATGCACATTCATCATCCATCACCATGAAATGATTTAAATTGTTGCAAAGTATGCTGTCTTCCTTTTGTCTAAATAAAAAACCCCTTGAATATAAAACCTTCCCTTGCCAAATAATCAAATAATAATGAGAAATTTGTACACATTTCTGATAAATCATCAACACATTTTAAACATGCCTAACCATTGTTCTAAGTATTAGTACTTAATCGTTAAAAAACCCTTGTTAAGTACTCCGATTAGGAATTTAGTATATAAATACAAATTTGCAGCTCCTCGATAGTTCAATTAGGCTATCACTTTACCAATCTGTTCTACCAACTATCACCAATAAATACCAGAAATGAACTCTTTTTAATTAAGCAATTAGAGAAAAAAGAATTTAAGAAATTGAAAATGATAGAACACTGCGTCCTCCTGCTTCCACGTGGCCTGTGGGCAGTGGGCGTGAAGGTTGGTCGGTCGCTTTTTGTGTACTAAAAAACAAAACAAAAAAGTAAAACTAAAATAAAATAAAAAAATAGAAAATAAAAGAAAAGGATGGCATTAGCTGGCCGACTATCCGTCTCCGTACATTAGACTCAACAGCTAAGCTTCCAAAGAAATTTCCAGCGCGGCAGCTAAATTCACTATATATATAAAAAAAAAAAAAACTGAAAAAGAGACGTTAGGGTAGATTACAGAATGGCCAGTGAACTTTGGTAGCACTATATAAAGGTCACTGAACTTTAGTATTTGACCAACTTGACGATGAAGTTTGAGATAACTAACATAATAGTTACTCATGACTCATGAGCATTCCTGCTGGTGAATATTTCGTATCTAACTAAAAATCAAAATCCTAAAAAGAAACTTGAGATGTACAAATTGATTGGTTTCGAAATGGCATATGAACAAATTGAACATTCTGAACTTGTAAATCTAATGTCGTTTGACCTCTTCCATTATATAAATCTAGTCACCTTCCCAGATCAATCGATGTTCTCCATATCTTGAGTCTATCAAGGGTTGCAGCAGCGTAGTTGAGCTGCCATCTTACATCCCCGCTAAAATCTATTGATATTATTGCTGGTTTATGGTTTGACCACATAAAACCAGCTCACTCGAACTTTTTATAGTTTCGATGTATCGCAACGATATAAGAGAGAGGTAGATGGGTTCCTAAACGGTGAAAGTTGAGTGCATTATATATCAGTACAGCAAAGTTTAGTGACCATTCATGTAATTGACTCAAATTGAGAAACTGAAAAAGAGTTAAAAGAAAATTCAAAATTTTGAAAACAAAAAGAGAAACGAATCATATAAATAATGCATTACTTTCCTTTTTGCGGATTTATTTAAACCACCACCACAACTCAACTACCGCTCTCTCTCTCTTCCATCCTTTCCTTCTCTTCTGCTTCTTCTTCTTCTGGGTGCTGTCGGTGTTGCTCTCTCTCTCTCCCTCTCCGTCTCTCTCAGATCCGCCTGCTCGTTTTGCTGTTCTTCTGCCGCTTGGTCCCTCAGATCTCACAAATCCGGATCATTCACGGATTTTCAGGGCTTCAGGCGCTGTAATTTGTTCGCGAGTTTGGTAGTAGTGGAACGATTTGGGGTTCTTGGATCCCGTTTTAGCCTGTTGGGGGAGAATTTCTGAGGAGAGCGAGAGAGGGGTTTCTCAGTTCGACTTCGATTAGCTTCGGAAGAGGAAGGAGAGAAGAAAGAATCGAGTAATTTGAATCTTTCTCTGATTCAAATCTTTGCTCATTCGGGGAAATTGGTAATTCTCTGTTGCCGGCGCCCGCATCAAGGGTTTTGGGTTTTCTTTATACGGAAGAAGGTTTTTTTAAAAGATGCAGCAAGACCACCCCAAGAAGGTGAGAGCTTTTTTAACACTCATGAGCCGATTCTTTGTTCGTGTTTTCGTCTTTTATCCATGGAGGAATTTGTGATCTGAGGTTCGTCTGCCATTTGGGTCTTGGTTATTTACTATTTGTCCAACTCTCTTTGTTTTATCGCTCACACTTCTTGGATTCAACGACGGGAAAAGAAGGTGATTTCGAGAGATTCTTTCAGTATCTAGAAGAAGGGGTTTTTTACATAGCGGAGATAAGAAATAGGTGAGGGAAAAACAAGAAGGGTACTAGGAGAGCTTTCCGAAATTAAGAGAGATCTACTTGACGAGCTCAGTTCATCAGGTGGTTGGTAGGAAAGTGTGTAATTATGATCTGGGTTAGTGGGTATTCTGCATTTTTGTTTACATCCAAGCTATGTGTGGAGAAATTGGATTACCCAGTTCAGAGGATGCTTGGGTTAGTGCGAGGGGGATTAGGCTTGAACTAATGGGTTTACTTGCTCTCAAACAAGTGTCGGTTTCTTGATCTTGTAATATGCCTTCGTTCCTTTTTCTTAGCTTCAACCAAATGTGCATGGCCGAACACCTAAGGATGTCAATCTTGATATGGCAGCTGTCATTAGAGCAGGGATTGCCTAGCCCTTACTGTAGGAGTTCAATTTCCTTTTCCATGTTTGTGTTGAATTCCTTAATTTTATTCATCGTTGTGATGAACTATACAGCTCTGATCCCTTATATTTGTGCGGTATGTGGCAGTTGCATTTTAATGAATATATGAAAATGTATTATGTTTCGACTCTCTTTGATTTGGTTCAGCCATTACTATTTTGTTGGTTTCGTATGTTAATTGGTGGTCGCCTTATATTTCTGTCTTACATTTTTATTGTTGCAGGATTTGAAAGAGATGGAGTTTTTCACAGAGTATGGTGATGCCAATAGATATAAAATTTTGGAGGTCATTGGCAAAGGAAGCTATGGTGTTGTTTGTGCAGCAATAGATACTCATACAGGGGAAAAAGTGGCAATAAAGAAGATACATGATGTTTTCGAGCACATCTCTGATGCTATCCGAATATTGAGAGAAGTCAAGTTGCTTAGGCTGCTAAGGCACCCTGACATTGTTGAGATTAAGCGGATTATGCTACCACCTTCCAAGCGGGAATTCAGAGACATTTTTGTTGTTTTTGAGCTCATGGAGTCTGATCTTCATCAAGTCATCAAAGCTAATGACGACTTGACGCGTGAACATCACCAATTTTTCCTTTATCAAATGCTTCGTGCATTGAAGTATATGCATACAGGTAATAGTTTCTCTGATTCTTTTTCTTAGAATCAGGCTTTTGTCAAGCTCTCTCTCCTTTCTTTCAACTGAAAATTTTCAGCAGTTGTCTGGTGGTAAATTTCGGGTGCTTGGCAATCACTTTGGTTTATCTCTCTTATCTAGTTTCTTTGAATAATCATTCTGGTGCCTCATGGTTCTGATCTGAATTTGTTTGGATTGCAGCGAATGTGTACCATAGAGATCTCAAACCCAAGAATATACTGGCAAATGCAAATTGCAAACTCAAAATCTGCGACTTTGGGTTAGCACGAGTTGCATTTAGTGATACGCCAACGACAGTTTTTTGGACGGTAACCATTTATGCTCAGTTATTTTCAAGGGCGTGCTGAGATTGGTCTCTCTTTTTTTTTCTGCTACGTGGCTTGTTCATAAACTGAGGTTTCTCGATTACATCTTGCAGGACTATGTGGCCACCAGATGGTATAGAGCTCCTGAGCTGTGTGGGTCTTTCTTTTCTAAGGTTTGTTTCTTTAAGAGTGTATGTTCATCTTTATATGGTGCTCCTTTTCTCTTAACTTGAAATGCAAGTTAACCATTGGCATGTGACGATCAAGTTACCTGCTTTGGTTATTTCTAGAAATTGCTTGACCTATGTAATTGTTTCACATGTTGGTTATGGTTTGGGATTCCTTGATAAAAGAAGCCAGGCTACGAAAGCTTACTGGAGCATATAAGCACATGATATGCTTTACAACATTATCACATGCATATGCTTTACAACTGGCATGAATGTGGAAAGATTCTATTGTCCAAGACTGAGACATATAGACCTCATTCTGGTGATTTAGTCTCGATTTATTCATTGAATTCTTTGTCTGTTGAACTGCTCTGTAGAGCTTGTTCTCAAGGAAGAATTAAGACCAATTGAACTTGTAATCCTTTGATCTCCAATTTGATTGTTATAGTCAGCTATAGTTCGACAGTTGAATGTCATAGTCTGCTCTAGTTCGACCTTCAACCCACTTTTCATGCCATTTAGTATACATGTCAATCACACGCTGATATTTTCCAAGACGGATGCCATAGATTTTGTTTCCTCTATTTGATCTTGATATGTGCCAGAGGGTTAAGATCTAGGGCATCTTTTCATGCCTTCTGTGATTTGTCTAACATGAATAAGATATCCATTAAAGCAAAACAGTTACATGTGTCTATGATTGTGTTCTACATGCGTTAAACAGTAATGCCTAGATTAAAATAATTCTTGTTCAGGGAGGACTGAAAAAAAAAAAACTCTCCCGGAAGTTGAAAATTTCTGTCGTGTTCAGGTAAATGGTATCAGGTTTATGTCTGTTTTCTGTGGGTGTTCTGATGTCAGTCTTAACATTTGTTATCTTGCCCAAGATTTTCTAACTTTGACCGTTATTTTGCATACAGTATACCCCCGCAATTGATATTTGGGGCATCGGTTGCATCTTTGCCGAGGTGTTGACAGGGAAGCCATTGTTCCCTGGTAAAAGTGTAGTCCACCAATTGGACATAATCACCGATCTTCTTGGGACTCCGGCACAAGATACCATTTCCGGGGTACAATAACATTCACCTTTTGTGACCATCTCTGTCATCTGTTGAACTGATTTGATATTGATGCTGGAAAACAAACAAATTATTTTTCAGGTGAGAAACGATAAAGCTCGGAAGTATTTAACTGAGATGAGGAAGAAACAGCCTGTCCCGTTTGCACAAAAGTTCCCCACTGCAGATCCCTTAGCACTAAGACTTCTCCAAAGGCTCCTAGCTTTCGATCCAAAGGATCGACCAACTGCGGAGGAGGTTTGCATTTAAAGCCTGAACTTGTATTTGTTTTGTTTGGGTATCGTCGAGTTCTTATTCTAACTGTCTTTCTGTTGAGCTAGGCACTTGCGGATCCTTACTTTAGGGGCCTATCGAAAATCGAGAGAGAGCCTTCTTGTCAGCCGATATCTAAGTTGGAGTTCGAGTTTGAAAGGAGAAGGATAACGAAGGATGACATCAGGGAGCTACTTTACCGGGAGATACTTGAGTATCATCCGCAGTTGTTGAAAGACTACATGAGTGGGAATGAAGGCACAAACTTCCTCTATCCTAGGTTCGAGAAAGCCTCCTTTATAGATTTTCTAATTTATAATTCCACAAGGTGGTTTCATTTGCTGAAAAGGCACTTTGTTGTTGTTATGCAGTGCGATAGGTCACTTCAGAAAGCAGTTTGCATATCTTGAAGAAAATAGTGGTCGTAGTGCACCAGTTATTCCTCTAGAGAGGAAGCACGTTTCTCTCCCTCGGTATGATCTAATTACTTCGTTGATTGCAAATCTCTGACAACACCCTCTGGTTGGTGTTCTCACATTGGTATGGATACTCTTGTTTTCAGGCCCACAATTCATTCTACGTCGTCAATGTCTCATAACATCCCGACTTCAACTTCAGTTGACAACCATCAAGTAACAGATGAAGTTTCCAAAAACTTCAGGGGGGCTGACGGTGTGGCTGGGAGTGCTTCTAGGACTTCGCGGCCTCCACCTAGAGTGCCAACAGGTACATTTTCGTTGTTGCCTCATGGTTTGTAGTGACGCGTAGATTCTTACATGGACCATCACTAGACAGTCGGATTTGGGACAGAAAGCAATAGTCTATTTGCTAATAGTGATGCCAGTGAAGTGGCTTTGCCTTGGAATGGCTCGTCTATTAGCTAATCAGTCTATGAGATCATATGACAAAGTATTGATCAACTTAGTTCTTTTCCTTTCTCCAGTGAGTTTCTAACATTGTTTACATTAATTCAGTGAGCGCAGCAAAGCCTGGTAGAGTCATAGGATCAGTTGTACCATGTGACAGTACTAGAAACCTCGTCACAGACGTCTACGACGCGAGGAGTCTGTACAGAAACAGTACCACAGTGTCGCCACCATGCTTCTTCAGGACCACCACGAACTCCACCACAACGACGAAAGACAAACCCTCCTTGATGGACGCCGACCACCACCACACAACGTCACAAGCCAGGCCGCAGCAACCTCTTCATCAGCCGCACAACATGATGATGTCAGCTTCCACGATGGGGAAGCCGATGGTTCCTGCAGGAACAATGGCAACGGATATGAACAACACGAACCCGTACTACCACCACCACCACCACCAGCAGCAGCAGCAACAAGCCAGGGTGTCTGTGGAGCATCAGCAGCAGCAGATGAACGAGCGTATGGCCATTGACGCTAAACTGATCCAGGCCCAGTCTCATTACGGCCCTGCTGGTGCGGCAGCCATTGCTGTGGCGGCTCATCGGAATGTGGGGACGGTGCATTATGGGATGTCTTAGATGGGGGGAAGGAGAGGAAGGAGGGAGAGAAAAGGGAGGAGGGAGAGTTTATTGGTGTGATTTCATGCCCCCTGTTGTATGTATTGTTTACATCCTGATGTAATTAGACCATTCTTACTACCAAGTTCTGATTTGCCAATGGAATAATGACGACATTGATAGACTTAATTCTATTGGCTTTCTAAACAAGAGCCTCGTCCCCATTGCTTCGCTTTAACACAGATTCTCTGTCGGTCTCACTATCTGAATTCTCCCCTGGTCTGACTCGTTGCTAGATATTGCTATATCAAAAAGAGGTATTCTGCAACCGCGGAAGTGTTGCCAAAAGTGAAAAAGTGGTCGCCGTAGCGATGATTCCGTTTCTTATTAGCGACCACCAATCTGGTTGCAAATGAGTACTTGCATTACTAGTGCTAATTAGCTTGAACCATGTAAAAGCTTGTTTTGGGGAATGATGTGGAACCTCCAAAAGGCCAAAACTAGCATTAACCCTTCACGTTATTCATAACATCAAACTAATGCTGCATTTCGAGGCAGATATGATCACAAGCCAATCAAGAAGCTTCTCATAGTTACACGATCACAAAATGTTCATATGTATAACGAAATTTTTGGTCACATCAAATTAGTAAACCAATCGGAGCAACGATGAGAGGGCAACATCGACAACATCTTCGAACCCTTTATCACCACTAGCATTCGGGTGCGCAAATGTCAATCTGGGAATCAAATCCACAACGACTTTCCTCATCTCCTCAACTTTCCCGCTCCCGATCTTCATCAGCTCTTCTTCTATGTTAACCTTCCTCAATCCGTTGTCACTGATCATCTTTTCGTCCTCCCACAAAAACACGGAGTAAGATGTCGTGTTTTCGGGCAAGTACATTTGGTACTGCGTGTACGCGGTGTGCCTCGAGAACAGAACCGGCAGGCACCCTGCGAGCAACGAGTCGAAAACGGACCGCCGGGTGAACGAGTCGCCACGTGGCTGCAGGCAGAACCGCGACGCCATCATCACCCTCAGCACCTCCTTCGGGTCGCTGCACTTGGATGCATCCGCAGTGCAGTTGAGCAGCATGCAGTGCTCCGATTCGGAGCACTGCTGCATGAGCTCGTCCCTGATAGCCGCCGCCACGCCTTCCTTTCTCCGCGCCCCGATGTACGAGAAGAGGTATGGGCGGTTCGATCCCGCCACCTTTCGTTGCCAGTCTCTGACCTGGTCGACCGTGTAGGGATGGAAGTAGGACGGGTACGGGATCCCGAGCTGGTTGTTCCCTTCCGAAGGGTGCCTCTCGACCACGAACACCGACATGTTCCTGACCGCTGGGAGGTTCAGGAGCGTGTTCGAGCCGTAGTCGACGACACCCTGCTGCCGGTCGGACCGCATGAAGTCCCATGCGGTCCGGCCCAGGACCATGAAATGGTCCTTCCCGTTCCGTCGGCCCCACCAGGGCTGCTGCTGCTCCACGTGCTCCGCCAGCTGTACTGCCAGCTCATCGCGGGCCGTGTAGTTGGTCTCTCGACCCATGCTTGACATGTGGAACCCGCCGTAGAACGGCACGTAGAAGAGGTTGGCACGTGCCGGGTCGTTCGTGCGACAAGGGTGGTTTAACATCCTAGCGTGGAATATCTCTTCCACCGCGAACTGGTAGGGTGCGAACCAAATTGGTTCCTTTGTAGGCGTGTTTGCTTCGACGGAGAGTGGTTGGCCTAGGCCGTGGTTTACCACATCGGGACACAAGTTCCGGTACCTGTTAATTTATCAACCAAATAATCATAATTCTTATGTGAATAAGTATCGAATTGTGTGAAAATATCTCATACCAGTGATATTCACGTCGATTTTATGACCGATACCGGTTCAACCAGGTTCAACCGGCCATCATACTAACGACGTGACAACCATGTTTCCAAGACTAGTTAATTAATAATTAGCGTTACCTGTTCAAGCGGGTGCAATTTCGAAGAAGGTCGGAGTTGAACTTGGACGGCAGCTCGTAGACGTACACCGACATGTTCCTGACGTGGCACCGGCCGGTTGGTTTTGGGTCACCGACCTTGTCGTAATTCATAACAACACCATCATCGATTCCACGGCCGTGACTATGATCATCAGTAGTAGTAGTAACGGCGGCATTGGTCTTTGCGACGAAGGTACGACGGTTGACACATGGTCGACCAAGTGATCGTATGAGAATTGACCACGAGGAGAAGAAGAGCAAGAGGAGGAGGAAGAATCTGTACTTTGGATTCGACGGTAGTGGGTTGTTTCTGAAATTGAAACTCGTCGGAGCTTCGGCCACGCCGGCGGCGGCGGCCATTTTGAGAAAATGGTTTCTGCAGCTGGTTAATTTGGAGGATCTCAGCTAGAGATGGAGCTTTTTATATGAAAGTCAATAGAGGAGTAATTAAGGGGAAGAAGATGCCTTTGATCAACTAGACGTGCGATTACGTGTGGTTAATTAAGTAGTCAATGGTTTCTAGGGTCGACTCGCGGTTTGATCTCCATACCGAAACACATCAGAACGAACCGATCCAATTCGTTTTTTTTATGATCTAAAAAAAAAAAAATCCAATACTTTGCTTGATTGATCGCTGGCAATTCCTTGGTGGATTCTCAAACGGACAAATCAATCGAAGTATAACCAATTGAGTTACGATCTTATTCGATCTTCTTCGACAGAATCAGGCCGGGTTAATTCATATATGGACCGGGCCGGACCAGATTGTGTCCACTCCTAATCAATTGGGTTGAGAACCGTCTTGGCATGAGACAAATGGCAGGACAGGAATTTGTGATTATTAAACAAACGTTTTTTTTTTAATTAATGGTTAAACTAAGTAGCTAGCTTAGGAGCTGTATTACATGAGGAAAAGATCCATCTGATCTGGTGCAGGTCCAACCCAGGGAATGCATGACACCTATATTCCTTAATTCGTTTCTTATACTAAATAATCTAAGTTCAAGTTTCTTGTGGATCTTCATCTTGTTAATTGTTTATTTCTTACAAGTTGCAACAATACAATTTTCCTTGTGTAGTCCAAAGGTTGTGGACTGTTACGCAGTTAGGTTAGGTAGGGGGTGTTAAATCGTTTGGTTTGGTGAGTAGTCCGAATCGATTAACCAATAACGGCAAAACTATCGATCAGAAAGTCAAAACCGAAATGAATAACACTTGTCGGATTAGCCATAACCAGAAAAGTCGATTTCATTCCCACCAAAACCAGAAATACGTCAACTCTTCTGGACCTACAACAGAAGTAAACAACCACTAGAAAGAGAGAAAATTTAACCCTGCTGACATTTCACAAACTATCACTACAGGCTACAATAGTAATTCTAGATTCTGCTGTTAAAAAAGAAGAATTGCAATAGACTATTCTTTGCCATTCGATATTGAGTTATAATAGTTGATAAATAACATTAAACAGATCGATATGACCTAGTAGTAATACACTGAATTCGAACCTTGAGCGCATCTTAGCGATAGGAAACACCAACTCTAATGAAGAAAAGGACTAACACAACCTAAAAACTCTTAACCATCCATGGCGCCTACTTGCTTTCCTTCCTTGCTACCCTCCTCTGGCCACAATCTTGTACTTCCCTGTTCCCTGTTGCTGCAAAAAAACATAACATAACAAAACAAAACAAAAAGAAAGAACTTAGATCTCCAACACACGGCAGCTAGAAACAACCATAACCATAACAATCCCAACCCATTTGATTTTTTCACATAAAGATTGTACCTTTTCCCAAAGCTCAGTGTGGGTTCTGCAGAACCCAGCAACAATGGCCTCCTTCCCCTTACTACCTCCATCTCTGTACTCAATACACAACTCCTCCTTCAACCCACAAGTAATATGGAAAGCAAGGGGACAATTCCTCTCAGAGCAATCCATAACACACCCTCCCCTGCTCTTACAAACATAGCACTTCTCCCTCCACCTTCTCTTGGGAACTTTCGAGCAATCGATCCCTTCTCGACCATCCGGGTCCTCGAAGAACACCTCGGGGATTAGAAGCGCGCACACGATGTGCGCCCACACGCCATCCTTTTTCGTTGGCTTCAACCCGCCGCCCTGCTTGGGGCAGAGGCAACAAGACAGGGAAGGCCGGTTTTTCGTCCCATCGGGAACAGAGCACTCTGCACAGAACCAGTCGCCTTCCGGCACGCCATTGATCAATGGCGCACCGTAGCATGTCGTGTGGACCATTAGATCGCAGCCGTCGCAGAACACGATTGGATCCGACGGGTCTCCGTCCGTGCTGCCGCAGACAGCGCAGAGGATCCCATCTTCATCTTCTTCTTCACTGACAATTTGGCTAATTTCATTTTCCCCATCGGCTTGGGTGGATTCAGTCGATTGTGAGCTAGTAATTGGAAGTGGGAAATGTAAATCAGCATTGAGATTTTAGCTTTAATTGATAAAACAAGAGTAAATTTAAGAGCTTGATTCTTTTATATTCAACATACCTTAAGAGTGGGATCTTGTGATTTTCCTCCTGTCTCTTCTTCTCATTCCTGTTATGATTATGACCTTCTTCGTAATCACAACGAGGGTCGTACTGAACATTCAAATCCAGAGGCAAAAATGGCGGCGGAGGCAGAGGCTTAACTGAATACTCGTCGTCGTTGAGATCTGGTGGCTGAAACGCCCAAACCCTTTTCTTGGTAGGCAGAGAATAAGCGACCGCCGCCGCAGCTGCAGGACGAGGAGGAGAAAGAGGTTGAAGCGGCGGTTTCCGAGATTCAATTCGCTTCTTGGCCGGAAGGAGCTGCGGAGAAGAGGAAGAAGGCATTAACGGCGGGGGGATGTTTTCTTTGTTTTCTTCATCTTCCTGCTGCTGTTGCATGAGCCTGAACCGTTTGAGAGGAGGCAAAGTTTGAAACTGGGTAGCCATTTCTATTGTTCCTCAGTTGCTCTGTAATTTCTCTGGTGAGGTTGAGAGGGGAAGAAACAGGGAGCAGCTGATTTGATTAGGGTTTTGATTTCGCTCTGAATGATATGCAAGATTACAAGTTATTTCAATTTTGGGAGTGTGGGAAATTTCGAAAATGGCGGTGGAGGGAACAAATTCGAATTGGGCTCTGAAATCTCGAACTGAAAATGGTTTTTGGGGGGAGAGCTTCTGCGGGCAGTAATCTGAGAAACTGAAACAAATATGGTGGGAATCATGAAATTGCGTTTTGCGGTTTTCTTCTTTTCGCGCCAGATTTACTTATTTTCAACAGCCGGCGGGAAATTTTATAGCAAAAATTGGCCATGTGGGGCAAAATTATGCAGGGACTACCAAGTTTGTGGTTTACTTACAATTCAGTCCCTCCATTTCCTTTCCATGACATCAAGATTATTGAAGTTGTCAGAATTTGTTTCTTTCCTTAATAGTAAAACAATAAAAGGACTGGCAATGCCATGCATTGAGAGCATTTACTGGATTTCTGGCGCTGTCTGGAATGATATCTAGAGCAACAAAGTGAAATGCCTGATAATTTACAAAACAAAAAGCACTAGCAGATCACTGAAGCAAAACCGGCAAAGATCGTGACTTTGAAGTTCTAACCAAAGATTGCTGAGCACATGGATAAAGCTTGTCTTCGGAAGATGGGAAGCTTTTTACATTAATCTTGGTCCTCTGATGGCACATCTCGTCTCCAGAATCCGGCAAGGACACTGCCAAGGATGGAATGGCAAACACTGGAGACTGCACAAGGTACTGCAGTGAGTGGATTGCCAAAGTGCTGGGTTGCAAGAACCACTCCTAGCACTGAGTTCTGCAGACACACCAAAAGATTGAAAACAAAGATGAGTTAGTACTATCCTCTCAATATCACGAACAAAAAAGGATACCGAACAAGGGTTGGAAACAGTAACAGACCAGTTTAGTAGAAACCATGTTGACAATTTCGTATGACAATACAGTGTATAGATGCCTAAGATCCCAACTACAGGGAATTCAAAACGGAACTGAGTTGTCCTACAGTTCCACATGCCATCAAGGCAGAACAAGCTAAAGAATCAACAGTGTTGATGTCATAAACTAAGCCCTAACAAGGATCAAATGACTCGCCACTGGAAATCAGTACTGCTTTCAGCAACGAAAATACTGTCTCCAGCTGTCTTTGGAGGAAGTTGAGATATATTTTTGGTGAGCAGGGAATTAATTGCTTTTTTTACCTGCATGCCAACTTCAATTGAAATGGTTCTTGATGATGCCGTGTCAATTCCAAGGATCCTTGAAAGTACAAAACCAAAGAAAAAGCCAGATGCGTGAAGAAGAAATGCTGCTAGCACCACTTGTTTGCCTGACATCATTATTGCAGAGGAGCTATGGGCAATTGCATTTCCACAGAGAAGAGCAACAGTCCCCACAGCAATAGGTGGCATCAAAGGAGAGACTAACTTCACCAGGCTTTGAAAATATTGATTTAGAAAGGCGCCAGCCAGTACAGGAAGAAGGACAACCTGCATTTTATGGCACAAACTACAGATTAATAATCAAGAAAAAGAAATTAAATTGCTAACTAATAAATGTTTACCGTAGTTTAACTGAATCAGGACAAATAACGCTCACCTGCATGGTTGATGTTAGCAATCCTGCTGCGTCCACTGCAACATATTGGCCAGCTAGTTTTGCTGTTAAAAATGGTGTCATTACCTGCAATTTCAGGGAAGTGAGATTATTTTCAAATAAATTATACCAAAGACAAATGCTTCTGTTCGACACTGTAGAAACATCAGTCTCAATCCATTGCTCAAACAACCCTGGAGACGGATTTTACCTCAAAAGTTTGCAGCAGTTAGCTAACAACTTGATATTTGGAACTTTGATGAGGTTTGTAATTATAAACTTTCTTTGATTGTAGTGACGATTCAAATGTATCCTATAAGTCTACAGATATTCAAAAGTTGAAAAGAAGTTCCTAGCTAGAACTCATGATTCAAGGAAATGAAAAGCATAATTTCTGATCCTTGAACTGAAAAGAGAGAAGGGAAATCAAACACAAATTGCAGTGAGATAGATGGAAGTGATTTCGAGTACCAACCACAGCAGTAAAAGTGCTCGCCGCTGTCATCATTACTGAAAGTGCCACATTCCCGCTAGATGATAACAACATTATCCCAGTTTATGGATGCAGGAACATTATAAACAACCAAAAGTGTAGGAAAACAGAAGGCACAGAGAGAAGCAGAAGCATGTACCGTGCCATGTAGGTAACAATATTACTTGCTGTCCCTGTAAACATTGAAGAATTCAAGAACTATCACCCTGTAGACAACGAACAAACAGGAAATCTGACTTGTTTCCACAAAGACATAAAGTTACACGCACCACCAGGACAGCAGCCAACCAATATTAGTCCAGCAGCATAATGGGATGGCAGATTTAAGATCTTGCTCACAAGAAATGCTGATAATGGCATCACCTGCAACCAGTATGTTTCTTGCTCTTTCAGCACATAAGTTCATAAGTTAAAAGCTGCAAAAAGTTGCATTGCCTACGCTTCATAGGAATGCAAGTTTCATTAGTGAACTAATATTTATTCATCTGTGGAGTAATATTTCAACCTGACAAGTGAAGTGAAATAAAAAGACATGGAATTGCTTTGATGTCCAGAAGTTCAGGCTCTAGACTCTTCTATCTGACCAATCAAATTCTTCAAAATCTCAGATGCCATCACAAACCTTATTGTTGCTGTTCTAAAAGTGTATCAGTTCCTCTATATTCATTCATTTCTCAACAATGACATTTAAATTATGCAGACAGTGTGACAATTTCCTTTCATTTCAGAAGTGAGCTCAACAAAATTAAAGGGTGAGCATAGCATTTAGCAGCACAAAGGGAGCAAGACAAACCGAATACTGGAGCAGGAACCCAGCAAACAACTGTTTTGGCATGGCCATAGCATTGCTGAGGTCATCTAGGGTAAGCGTCATACCCATACCAAGCATAGTGAGGGTAAGCCCAAAGATGGTCCATTTGGGGGTAATCCAACCAAAAGAAGCCGGCTTTAGGAGTCCCATCAAGCAACCCAACGATACCCATATCGGAAATGCAGTGGAAATTGCCTCAGAGGCAGCCTCAACCAACCCTCCGATACTGCTTCCCTCATTTGCTCCCGAACTGTTCGATGAAATGCCGCAGTGGACAACCGTTGAATTCTTCGACGACTGGTGAAGCTTGAGCTTATTGCTTGTTGGGTGAAGCAGCTTCGGCCGGGAATCGGATTTGAGCGAGAAGGGCAGAGAGCTAACGGACGAGTCTGTGAAGAGTTGACATGAGATTGTCGTTGCAGATGGTGGAATGAACCGATCAAATGTAGTTGTCGCGTGTGGCTTGAATCCTATGATTTTGGAGGACGAAAACGCGAGTGTAGACTGCATTTCCCCCCCGTTCTGCTATGCCTGTCAGTCCAGTTCCTTTTTGCAGCGCTATTCTTCTAAAGGTCGAAGCTTTTGGTTCACTCTTGGCTTGCTCGGTTTATGCTTTATGTGCTGGTTTTGGGGAAGGACAACTGGAGAGTGGAGAGGGAGTGACCGTTTAAGGGAGTGCAAATGAGCAATCAAATAAATTACCGAACTAGTGATTGGTATAGGAGGAATCTTTGTAAAATCCTACCATACCCATTATTTTTTAGCGGTATGAAATTATTGAATCACCACTTCAACATATAATATTTTACTACTAATTTCTTCAATACAAATTTGGAAACGATTTTACTATTATTTCCATTCTCCTACTAAATGTGAGAACCTATAAGTGAAATGGTAACTGAATGATGTGTTAATCAATGTTTTTGGGCAAGTCATTGGCCGAATATTCGTAAAATTGGTAAGAAAGAAGAGGGTCGAGGATTCGAACTCGTGGGGCTGGCAAAAAGTTTCGCACTTTACCATTTCCTTCTCTGCAGAAATAACAAGCCCTACTCTCTCCCTTCGTTCCCTAGGCCAAGCTCGTCCGCGCGCCACCACAGAAGCTGACTTGGCTGCCGCCGAGGCTCCGCCATTTGACACCCTTACCCATTTCCCACTCCAGGTACTTCCCCTTTCCCATACTCCTCCATTTCACTTTCTCTCGCCGGCGAGACTGTCCTAGTTAGTCTTTTTTTCTCTTTTTAATTGCCGTCGGTTCCGTTTCTTCGTCTCTGAGTGGATAATCCGTTTGCTTATGCTGTTCGTCGTACAGCTATATGAACAGTTGGTGTTGTCTTCCATGGTGAAATTTGTTCATGTTGGTCTCTTGGCAATTTTGAAATGCTCTGCTCCAGTTGTTTAATTGTTCTTCAATTTTGTTCCTGTATGCTCAAAAACTTATGTTTTGTGCTCAGCAGGTATAATGGGTGTTTCAAAGTTGCCATCTTTCAGCCTGATCACCCCTAAGACCAATCCTGACCAAGTTTTTGTTCCTTCAAACACGTCTTCTGTGTTTCAACTGAAGAATCATCGGCGCACCAGAAGTGTCGCCATGGCTGCCTCCACCATACCTGCAGAGAATGTGAATGAGGACAAGCAGAGGGTAACTGGAGAGTCATTTATTCGATCGCACTTGAAAAAATTGTCTCCTTATCAGCCCATTTTACCATTTGAGGTACTCCTTTGCTGCAACCTCTAGTAGTATTGTTGGCACTATTTGTTGCTTATATGTGCTTGACAAACCATTGGGGCTTCATTTCTGTTCACATTTTGGTGAAATTTCATTATCAGATTGCATCTTTTGTCCTAAATTTGTTGGCTTATCATGCATCTCATGAGTATATATGACAAAGGGTCGCTCTTTGATATGTGCAAAGCTTTAGTTATGTATGCAGGCATTCTGATATTTTGTGATTAAGGTTATCTTCTTTGTTTATAACAGGTTTTGTCTGCTCGTTTGGGAAGGAAGCCGGAGGATATTGTAAAATTAGACGCAAATGAAAATCCCTATGGTCCACCTCCAGAAGCAAGTGCTATTTATCATTCATCTAGTCGTGCAAGAGTTGTCTTCGTGATTTTTATGTTTGCATTACAGACTCTAAACCTGGTCTGTTTCACTGTATTATAGGTGATGGAAGCTTTGGGGTCTTTGAAATTTCCTTACATATATCCTGATCCTGAAACTCGTCGACTTCGAGAGGCCCTTGCGAAAGATTCTGGCCTTGAGGCTGACTACATTCTTGCAGGGTGTGGTGCAGATGAGCTGATTGATCTTATTATGCGGTAAAAATCTTTCATTACTCGTTGTGTGAAGCATTATTTGTGAACATTTGATGATCAAATGCCCTGTTTTGTTGGTATCTTATGCACGTATGTTTTTGCCAGCTGCACATTGGATCCTGGTGACAAGATTGTTGATTGTCCTCCAACCTTTACAATGTATGAGTTTGATGCTTCTGTTAATGGGGCACAAGTAATTAAGGGTACTTTTTCATTTCTTTAGGACTTTTACTTGAATATAGATTGTCTTCTGAACAATGAGTGGCTGATTGTCGACCTTTCAGTTGTTATATAAAGAAAATGATTTTCTTCTTGGCTTTTGTTGATGGTAACATTGATGGATCTTTTTTCCCCATTCAATTGTTAGTCCCAAGGAAGCCGGACTTTAGCTTAAATGTGGAACTCATATGTGATGCTGTTAGACAGGAGAAACCGAAATGCATATTTTTGACATCACCAAACAACCCAGATGGGAGGTAATTTGTCATTGGTTCTCTGGTCTTCCAGTTATTATTGCTCTTAGATTTTCTTTCTCATCTCGAATTATAACTATGATGCGGCAGTATAATCAATGATGAAGACCTATTGAAAATCCTTGAGCTCCCTCTTCTGGTGGTGCTGGATGAAGCATACATAGAGTTTTCAGGTCTAGAATCAAAGATGAAGTGGGTGAAGGAGCACGAAAACTTGATTGTTCTACGAACATTTAGCAAAAGAGCAGGTATATATTGGTGGTTCCTTGCTCTGTGCACTATGGTTTGGCCATTCCTTATGTAGAGCTTTATACACTTCTGATTCTAAAAATACGTTGCAGGTTTAGCTGGACTGCGTGTTGGGTATGGAGCATTTCCAAGCGGTATAATTCAGTATCTCTGGAGAGCTAAGCAGCCGTACAACGTATCTGTTGCTGCCGAAGTTGCTGCTTGTGCAGCATTGGAGAATCCTGGTTACCTGGAGGTTGAATTGAAGATTCATTCTGTAGGATATTAGCCCATATTTTCTTTTACAGGGGATGCTAATGTGCCCAATTCATGCAGATGGTGAAAGATGCATTGGTACAAGAAAGGAAGAGGCTTTATCAACTTCTGGAGGAAGTACCCTTTCTGAACCCATTCCCAAGCTACTCCAATTTCATTCTTTGTGAAGTTAAACCTGGGATGGACGCTAAGAAGCTCAAGGTAAGATATTTCTGCTATCTGTAATCTGCATAGATATGTTAGGATCTTGCAGATGATAGTCATTGGTAGACTAAGGGGTTTATACTAATTTGGTCATCTAACTCAAGTAAATGTATCACATTGTGCACTAGTCTCTTATCGAGACCATTAAAGCACCAATTTTGCCCTCTCTGATAGTGATTGGGAATTTTGTTATGCTGAGATCGTTTATTACGGGGTTGGTTGCAGGAAGCTCTAGCAGACATGGGTGTGATGGTACGACACTATGACAAGAAAGAACTGAAGGGATTTATTCGGATATCAGTTGGGAAACCTGAGCAAACGGATACCTTGATGCGCTGCCTAAACTCCATTTCCTGATTCTTGGCATATTGGCCATTCCCTTCTTTACAATTTCAGAGGTTGATTTTGTAGCAGAATGTTTACTTTCTAATCTACATTCTTGATGAATACGTTGTCAAGACCGAAATCCTTGATCTTTCATTGCAATGTTTACAAAACTGTATCAAAGATCGAACTTGTCGAGGCTTACTGATCATTCAAGGTAATTATTATGAGTAAAATTGTCATAAACGATATACAAACTGGTCATTAGTAACGATTTAACTGGTACAAGTTACCAGTACTGCAATACAAACACTCAAGAGAAGCAGATTTAATATCAACATTAGCAAAAACAAAAGCAATTTCTTCTCCAAACACATAAAAGCAATTGCTTCAAACCAGATCCACTATCACAGTTCACACTTTCAACTTAGTGTATTCCACGAAGGCTTTTACTGAATTCCTTGAGTTGTCGAGGAACAGGAACCCTTCCATCATAACCACCAGTTTGCAACAAACAAACTCCCTTCTCTTGCGGTTTCCTTGACGGCACGTGCAGTTATTATGAAGAGCTTCATCTTCTTTTGGCATAACCTACGGAAAGATTGCGCCAGAGCTGGAACAGATATCTAAGAAGTTGCAGAGCGTGAGATTTCATTCATAACATCTTAGCAGGACATATTAGCTGCCTATCTCCCTTGAGACCGCATATCGTATGCACCTCCCCATGAACCTGGGACCACGCCATACTGTGAAAAACTTTCGGCATGCTGCTGCACCTGGATTTAAGTGGAATCATATTCATTTTTAAAGGAAAAAGAGAATGAAAAATAATAGCATACATATATATGCTGTGGATCGAATAGGATGCATAAAGAGAATCAAAGAGTGTGTTGTTCTTCACAGCTAAGAGCAGCAAAGCTATAGATTCAAGACTTACTGGGTTCATTCCATAGCCAGCAGGATAAGGATTTCCAGCATATGCGGCTTCCGGATTGCTATAGTTTGGATTATAAGCTGCAATTGGACAAACAATAGGTGAGCTCCTTAAAGATTTAAGCTTGGAACAGTAAGAGCCTTTGTCAAGTAAATATCGTATCCAATATATCAAACAAAAGAGCTAGAACTTAAACTAAATAAGCTTGCATACCTTGATGCCCTGCGTGAGGCAAAGAGCGTGATCGTTTCTCTGCATTAGCTATCTCTGCACGAAGCTTCTCCAACTCTCGAGCCATTGAAACCAATTTCTTCTCCATCACCTGTCCGTGCTCGAAATTCTCTGCATATCCTTTCTTCTCATAATCAATTGCAGCTCTACATATTTACCAAAATCAACAATAAAATCACCATTAAGTTACCATGCCAGAACAGCTTATATTCTTCTATCCATACAACAAAACAAAGATCGCTCAAACTTGTACCGTGCACGCTGCAAGTCCTGCTTCATACTCTGAATTTCAGCCTTCATACCCGGCACCTGCTTCAAGTCCGCATTATAACGAGCCAAGTCTTGAGTCATCATTTGCACCCTACCGGTAAGTTCTTGCTTTGCATCAGTAAGCTCCTTGACATCACCACGAACACGATGGAGCTCGTTCCTCATCGACTCCAACCCACGAAGATCCGACTCCAATTTCACAGACTTCTCGTGCACCTCCCTCATCTGAATATCTTTATCCGGATGCAACGAATCGGCAAACTGGGCCATCCGTTGCAACTCGTGCTGCGTGGCCTCCAGCTCCTGCTTCAATGCAACATGAGTTGCAGCCAGCCGCTGGTTATCACCCAACAAAACTTGAATCTCTTGGTACTGAGCAGCCAGATTCTCCTCAATAACAGCAGGATGATGATGATGAGGGGGTAGCCGCCGAGGGTCTAAACCAAACTGGGATTCCCTCATCTCATCCAGCAAGGCAGGGTGCGGTGGCATTGAACCCGGGCCTCTTCCGAAACGATGTTCGGCCATCGGCGGCAAGCCGTTCATTGGAAGAGGCGGCCCACGGTTTCTCCCAGACATCTTTTTCACCTTTTACTGATCAGTTATGCTGAAGAACGCAGAAAAATAAAAAAAAAACCACGAACACAGAAACTCACTGTGACTAACTAGGCCTCCGAGCAACCTGGAGGGCGTTGATGGTGGAGAAAACCCAGCAGGAAGGCAGCGGTGGAAAAGGAGGATGTCGCGAGCGGCCTCGCTCGATCGCTAGCTTGCAAATACAGCAATTAACGAAGCTAGGAAACCCTAGAATTGAAATTGAGAGTTGATTCAGGGGAGGACGATTCTGCGAGCAGAGGAAACTGGGAATTCACTGATTGGATTTGACACAAAGCCTCCGATGGCCGTCTAAAATAACCTCCGATCGCCGATTCAGCTTCAGCAATCAGAATCTCCTCTCTCCGGCCGTCCAGCTCTTAAGACACAGAGGGTCGGGGACGGTGAGAATGTGATGGAGTAGGCGAATTCTTAGTTCTTACGGTCAATTACACAAACGGTCACTAAAATTTGTGGGTTTCTCCAAATTTCGTTACTAAACTTTGTTTGTTGTGAAATTCGACCACTAAAATTTGGAGTGACTAACGAAATGATACTTACAAATTACAACTCTTGTTGTGAGGGATTATGGGAGCAGTACAAAACTCAAGCCTGCAAAATTCTGCAAAATTATGGGAGCATTATAAAAATTCGGTTAATTCAAATTTTGGATTTTCCCCCCCAGTTTGGATACTCCTAGCTAGTGACATACATCATTTAGAGTAATTTAAAGACAGACATAATTTAAGATTTGGATTTCAGTACAAAATCCGACCTGCAAAACTTTTCGATCGTATCATATCACGTACGACGTAGCATTATCAATCATAACAGGTGAGTTCAACCTAAATTGCTAGCAAAGTAATTGACTATATCTTGTTAGTGTTTTCCACTTAGCTTTACTATTCACACAAAGATTAGAAAATAGGAAGGCATACTTACCAAAAGCTCTAATCTAGAGATGTCCAAGAACAAGGTATAGAAGATGAAATATCTCATAGAGAAAGTATAGTACAGTTGGTAACATCTAACCTAGCTAGCAAACCCACAGATATGAAGAGTTAAAAAAGGATAGCCCAAAAAATTAATACAAATTTAACATATTATTTTTATTCTATATGCCCCCACCCCCAATTAGTTTGGTTCCTATTAGTGTTGGGACCATAACTACACATACATGTTATATTCAGCGGCGAATCCAGGATCGAGTAGAGCACTGGACCGTAACACGACGAACATCGAAAATCGAAAATTTACAAGTGTTATATTAGCTCTGGATATAGAGGGCCGGGCCGTGGCCCGGGGGCGGGCGGCTCCTAGATCCGCCGCTGGTTATATTCTCAAGATTATTCAATTGGCACTAATGGATATTATATTATATTTAGAGATTAAAGGATAAAGGTTATCTAAAGTGTACAGTTTCGCTTATTTAAACCATCATTAACTGGACTACCTAGTAGCCATCATCCACACAAAAAACCCTAGAGAAACAAACTGATCAGAAAGAAAGAAAAAAAGAAAAAAAACCTGCCCACTGATCTCCTGATTAATTTGCATTCTCAGTCGTCATTAAAAATAACAATTCATGGCAATGCTGAAGGGGAAGTCGGCGGTGGCGGCCGAGTCAAGCACCGGCGACAACACCATGGAGCCGACGATCATCTCTCGTCCACTAGCAAACTTCTCTCCCTCTGTTTGGGGTTCCAGATTTGCTTCGCTTGCTTCATCTCCCACGGTAAGATTAAGATATCGCCGGCCGGCCACATATTACGTTGCTCCATGGCATGCATGCATGTAACTATATTGATATGATTAATGACATATGATGGTGATGTAATGTTTGATCGGGCATGCAGGAAATGGAATTCTACCGGCGGCAGGTGGAGCTGGCGAAGGCGGAGGTGGAGAAGATGCTGACGGCTTCGGCAGCCGACGGTACGTTTCGAAACGTGGAGCTCATCAACTTGCTGGAGCGGCTTGGTGTGTCGTATCATTTTCAAGCTCAGATAGAAAACCAACTGCGGCTGATATTTGAAAATTCTCTCTCCGATGTTGCGGAGAGAGATGGAGACCTCTACTCCGTTTCGCTGGCGTTTCGAGTGCTACGCCAGCATGGATACAGAGTTCCTTGTGGTAAGTAATTACTTACGAACTCCTACCCCTCGCATCTGGTGGCAAAAGATCGACGTTTCTGGTTGCGAAACGAAACATTTTATAGTAACCAAATGATTTGGTTCTCTGCTAAATTTGTTTAATTACACGGTAACTAAAACTGGTTTCGGTGAGTTGTTGGGAGAGGTAAATGTACGAATAGGGTTTATGGTTCAGGGTCCTTATACATCTCCTCCAATGTAAGTTATGAGGCTGAAGTTTGCACAGATCCATCATACCATTTATTTTAAGATAACGATCAATATTGGGGGTCATGAGGATTTGAATACGTGATCTTATTGAAAAATAAACCATAATATCATGTCAAAAACCAACTAACTAATCTGAATCAATCGAGTTGTTGAAATAAGTGTATATATGCAGATGTGTTTGACAAATTCAAGGACGTAAAGACAGGAGAGTTCAAGGAATCTCTGAGGGGCGACGTGAGAGGGATTCTGAGCTTGTACGAGGCCTGCCACTTGAGGCTTCATGGAGAGCCCATTCTAGAGGAAGCCCTAGCCTTCTCAAGGTCCACTTTGCAGCTGGAAGATTACTCAGCCACCAATGTTATAAAACCTCATTTGGCAGCACACATAGAAAATGCACTGATTTGTCCCTTCCACAAGAGCGCTAGAAGGATAGATTCGTGGAGATTCATCTCCTTCTACGCTGAGGAAGAATCGAGAGACAAAACACTCTTGAGATTCGCGAAGCTCGACTTCAACTTCGTGCAGCTGATGCACCAAAACGAGCTGGCCTTTGTTTCGAGGTGGTGGAGGGACACGGGTCTTCAAGAGAGGCTGTTATAAACGCGCTGCTACGGATCGGGAAATCGCTGGAATCGACAAAGCAAGAATACGAAAGCGAGAATCGAAAAACACAGACACACGATTTACGTGGTTCACTAACACGATGTGTGTTAGCTACGTCCACGGGCGAGAGAGAGCCAATTTCACTATATCGAGGAGATTACAGATTATAGAGGAGTATGAGAAGTATTTATAGCACTTCTCTATGTGGGTCTAAACCTAATCCAATCTGACAAAAGAAACGGTTACAGACCAGGAAAGGAAGATGAGGACGAGGATTGCAGCCACCAAATTTGCCAAAATGGTGTCGACGAAACCCTCTTGAGAAAGGAAGATGAGGAGGAGGAGAAGGAAAAAAAAAAGTTTGTTCCTGTAAAAGATAGAGACCCAAGTTTATTGCCCTCTATATCTTCATCTAAATTAAAAATCTAGATGACATTTACTTACTAAAACTCTATCATACCCTAACTTTATCCTCCAAAGTAGAATCCAATATTTATCTGCCTATCGCGTATTCCATAATCATAGAAACAAATGGTTAATGCATCGAGGAAGGCCACGAGCTTGGTGTATTGATCAATTACGTCGAATATAATTAATCAAGTCGCCACACTAATCCTTTCAAATTAAATACAGAACAAGCCAAAAAGCAGAACATCAGCTAAAGCAGCGGGGGTACAATAAATGGAAACTCAAGCCACAGGATTGTATGCAACGGGAATCAAGCACAAAGGATTCTTCCTGCGCAAAGTGAGTCCAAAAGTTTCTGTCATATCTAGCTCTTCAGGCTTCATCCCGTCGGGGAGTTTCCAGTCAAAATGATAAAGCAAGTTTGTCAACCCGAGTTTCACAGTAGCCATCCCGAAAGCCAGTCCAGGGCACATCCTCCTTCCTGCACCGAACGGAACGAACTGGAAATCCGTGCCCCTATAGTCCACCGAACAATCGAGGAACCTCTCCGGATGGAATGTCTCGGCGTCATCCCAGAACTGTGGATCTCGCCCGATTGCCCATGCATTCACTATGACTTTAGTCCGCGCGGGGACCAGATATCCGTCGACAACCACATCTACCTGACTTTCTCTCGGACCGAGCAGAGGACCGTCCGGGTGCATCCTCAGCGCCTCTTTGATAACGGCGTTGGTATACTTTAGCTCCTCGATTCTCGCTTCGTCAACTCTTCCTCCTCCACGAAACGCCTGCCGGATTTCTTCCTGCACTTTCTTCATCACTCTTGGATTTCTCATCAGTTCGGCCATGGTCCACTCTATTGTTATCGTCGAGGTCCCACTGGCACCGAGCAACAGGTCCTGATGATATTACAATATTTTTCGGAGCACGTTATAAAGAGTGTAACAAATGATTGAACGAATTGACTAAATTAGGTAGAGGGATGACAATTTGAACCAGCTCCGTCGGGTGTTAATAATCGATTTAATTAAATCCGAAAAACTTACCGAAGCGATTGCTTTGATGTTTTCAGAAGTCAAGGGGCACTCAGTGGTGGCACTTTCCTGGAGATCTAGAAGAACATCAAGAATATTATCTCCCTTATGTTCCCGTCTCCGTTTGGCGACGTGCTCGTTGATGATCTCCTCGAGCAAAACATCCGCCTTCCGGTGCTGACGTCTGATTTTCGCACCGTATCCGGTCAATGCCGGAAGAAACTTGACGGAAGGGTACAGATCGGAGACGGTCAAACCGCCGAACAGGTCGGAAATCCTGTTCACCTCGCCCATGAAAGACTCGATGTTCTCTCCGACGACACCGAAAGCCGACCGGGCAATCACACGAACGGCGGCTCGAAACACCACCTCGCTCAGATCCACCGCCGCCGCCGCCGTCGATGACGACGAGACGCGGCGCACCATGTGACCGGAAAGCTCTTCCTCCCTGATGGAGCGGTACGAGAGGACGCGCTTGGTGCTGAGCAGCTCCGTCGCGCAAATCTTGCGGACGGAGCGCAGGTAGTCGTCGTAAGGTGTGAAGATTATACCCTTGTTGCCGTAGGAGATGATGCTCCCGGCCAGGAAGAAGGGCCGGGAGGCGAGCGCCGCGTCATGCGTCCTCAGGACGTCCCTCGCGGCGTCCGCGGACGAGACGACCACGTGGCGCAGCTCCCCGAGCTGGAGCCGCATCACGGGACCGTACCTCTGCGACCCCATCGCCATGAGTTGGTGGAGGTTGCCTATGACGGGGAGCTTACGTGGGCCCGGCGGCAGAGGATTCGGCGGCCTTGTTGTGGATGGCCTCTTGAGGATTAGTAGCCTGGTTGCCAGCCCTATGATCGACAGTGTGAGGAGAAGAGGAATGTACAAGTGCTGCAGCAGTTCCATGGTAAATTTTAACTAGGCACAAACCCAGAAACTAACTGCTGCTACTTTGCTAGTTGATTGCCCTTTTAGTGATGAAGTGGTGCAACTACAATGTTTAATTTATATAATAAATTGAGGTGTTAGGTGGAATATATATATAAAAGAGAAGCAAAAATATTTGCCCCCATTAAAAAAAAGAACAATTTTCTGACCAAATTTTCAATTTTGTCACAATAAACAATGTTTATGTGACGAGAAATTGTAATGGTCATAAAGTAATTTATTTTTGTGACTACAATTAATGGTGACTAATGATCCGTTTACTTCGTCACAGAATATGCAATTGGTCACACACAAGTATAAAAGCCAACCAATTCATTTCTCTTTTACCGATCACAAAACCAAACCAACTATTTAATACCACTAAATTTGGTCATAAAACATTGGCAAAATACACTTGTATAGCCAAAACTTTGACGGTTTTGTCAAATATAGCCACATTTGGCGAAATACCAAAAATAGCAACTTCCGTCCAATTGTTTGACGGTGTTAGTTAACGTGCTGACTGGACTAACGGATCATCTGATGTGGCGATTTTCGACCCGTACATATTTCCCACGTGGATTTAATAATAAAAAAATTAAATAAAAAAACAATAATTAAAATTTTATATTTTCAAATGGATGGTCTTTTGATTTATGGAAAATCAAATCAAATAAATAAACCAAAAAACCTTCTCTCCTTCCCAACCTACCCTTCCGCGGCCCTCTCCCCACCTCCATCGTCGGCGACCCTCTGTTCCGATTTCCCTTCGCCATCTCCGCACCTCCACCGCCGACAAATATTCGAAACGAAGGACCAGAATCCGCCGCCCCCGCTTCCTCCTCCTCCTCCCTCTAATCCTCGTCCACCGCCCGAAACCGCTATCTTGTCTCTTCGCATCTGCCTCCAAATCTGGGATATTCGTTTCGATTCCTCCCAACCGACCTCCACTGCTCGCTTCGCTCACCAAGTGGAAGAGAAAAGAAAGGGTCCTAGGTTTCTTCTTCTTCTTACTGACCCATGAGCTCTATCCCTTCTAGTCTCCGATCCCTTCTCATATCCAGATCTGAGGCAGGAATCGCTGTGGTTGGCGTGACAATAACCACCATCTAATCCAGAGAAGCAGCGGAGTTCGAGTGATGAATTTGACTCACCATCGTTGCCGTATTTTCCTTCATATTCGGCGCCGATTAATTTTTTCCTCGTATTCGGCGGCGAATGCCTCTGGTGAGTTTGTGCGGCGACAATTGTGCAAGGGTTGGTGTTGGGGTTTGTTTGGGGTTTGAAGAGGAAGAATAGACTTGAATTTTAGCTGAGTAGTTGGATAGTTTCAGGGGTGTGGGAGGTGATTTATTGTTGTCAAATGTTGTCAAATTGGGTCGGCGGCGACGGGTTGTGGGAGGGGAGAGAGGAAGGAGAAGAGGAAGATGAAGGGAAGGAGAAAGGAGAGAGAGAGACTAATTCAATTTTTTTATATTTTTATATTTTTTTTAGTTTTCACAAATAAGAAAATTGTAGTCCATATAAAAAAAGACTATTTGAAAAAAATATTTTTTTTTTCAATTTTTTCCGGTAATTTTATTTATTTATCCACATGGAATTGTTAAAAGATAAATCAAAATGATGTGGCAATGATATGGATGACTTGTCGCTGACGTGTGTGATGATTTGGCATCCTAGTCAGCCTAACGTTAATCTAACTGACGGAGTTTCTAACACCGTTAAAGTTTGTAACGGAACTGGCTATTATTGTCATCAAATTTTCAAAATTCTGGCTATTATTGGTATTTCCGCAAAAGTGGCTATTATTGTCACAAACGTCAAAGTTTTGGCTATACAATTGAATTTTGCCTAAAACATTCTTCCCAGCTGATTTAGTCATCTTTAAATGATAAAAAAAAAATATCGGGTTGTGAAACATCTTATCGCAACCAATATCTTTAGCACCTCCAGATTTGCGTTGCTAATATGAAAGAAGTCGTCGCTATTGCTAAAGTTGTGCGTTAAGTAGACCTAGTCACTAATGTATAATATATGTTCGCTTTGCCACGATATGGACAGTTCTGCAGAGGGCATCCGCATCATAATTTGTAATGCAACAATAACAATAGCCGCCTGGCAAATTATAATGAATATTTTTTTGATCAGTTTTTTTTTTATCAGAAATTATAATGAATATTATTCGAGGATAGATGCGCTTCATCACAGGCTGCATTTTATTATATCATTTGTTGTAGTACTAAGATAAGAGGTGTTGTTACAGTATCCGGGATCATCGATGGGCGGGGCACATGTTTGGATTATTCACGACTAAATGTAATGGATCTCAACCCTAGATTACTCTAATGATTCGAAATGAAAAAAAAAAAACAATTGGTGCAATCCTACAAAATTTTATAATATAATTACATGGGATAAGTTAAGATTAACGACAAAAATACAGAGAAGAAAGTGAGCATCTTTGCAAGCGCCCCGTGGGGCATCATAATTTATATATAAATAGCAACAATAGCATTAGCCGCCTGACGAAATTACAATGAATAATTAGATGATAGATGCGATTCACAGGCTGCATTATATTTTATAATCATTTATTGCAGCCGCCAGCAGCAGTGTAGTCAGAATTTAATTTATTCAACGTAGAATCATAGTGGTAAATGATAAGCTGAACTTCACCGATTATTACAATGATCTACTACTACTACGTATTTTCAATATTTTAGAAATTCCTTAATCGCGTTCATATTTCATCATCCAATTTAAATACTTTTCATCTCCTCTGTAATCTGTAATCTCCTCGATATAGTGAAATTGACTCTCTCTCGCCCGTGGACGTAGCTAACACACATCGTGTTAGTGAACCACGTAAATCGTGTGTCGTGTTTCCGATTCTCGCTCTCGTATTCTTGCTTTGTCGATTTCAGCGATTTCCCGATCCATAACAGCACGTTTATAACACAACTTTTACATCTTAAGGTGAGTTCCGGGACCCACCTTAGATTTAAAAGACCAGAGGTTTAAGAAAAGATAAGGGTAAATACAATTTAATATCCAAACTTTTCATTTTAAACAATATAATAGCCAAACCTTTTCAAAAACAATCTAATATCCAAATCATCAACTTTTCGTTCGTTTGACCGTTAGTTGACACTTCAAAAAAGTTCGAAGTACGACGCTTCATCAATATCCATCGATATCTTCTCTGAAAAATCACCAACATATCGTGGTTCCAAACCCGAGAAGTCCATGACTCCACCATGATGGTATAGAATATCTAAATATTCAGTCATCTGCAATGCCAAAACAAGAAAACAAAGTTGTATTGTGACAATTTCCCCTAAACATAACTTTTTTAAGTGTCAACCAACGGTCAAACGGACGGAAAGTTGACGATTTGGATATTATATTGTTTTCGAAAAGGTTTGGCTATTATATTGGTTAAAATAAAAGGTTTGGATATTAAATTGTATTTACCCAAAAGATAAACATTGCATGTGTTACGTACTAGGAATCCTGTCAGAGAAGAAGGGAAAGCATCATGCATGCACGCACGTGGCCGGCATCATAATTTGTAAAGCAACAGTCGCATTAGCCGCCTGGCGAATTTTATAAAGAAATCCATTATTACGGGACATAAGGATGCCCTTTCAGTGTTCACAGGCTGCATTATATTATATCATTTATTTTCATTTTATCGTCAAACTAATTTTTCTATTTCCATTATATTTGGCAATACATTACATAAACAACTGCAACTTAGCAACGACTTAAAATGATTAACGAACGGTAACAACAACAATCAAAGCGCAAAGCGAAATGCGGTGACAGGACAAAGACAACACGAATTAACTACGAAACTAGGTAAATCAGAAACCAGGACACTACGAGCTGATACAAACAAAGTTAGGTCACAGTGTTGTATGGAACGGGAATCAAGCATAACGGGATGTTCCTGCGTATAGTAAGTCCAAACCGCTCCGTCATATCTAGATCTTCGGGCTTCATTCCGGTTGGGAGCTTCCAGTCAAAATGATAAAGCAAATTAGCCAGTCCAAGTTTAACGGTGGCCAATCCGAAAGAAATTCCGGCGCATACCCTCCTGCCCCGAGCCAAAAGGAAGGAACTCGAAATTCCTTCCCTTGTAGTCCATCGAACATTTCATCGTCAGGAATCTCTCTGGATAGAACGTCTCTGGATCATCCCAGTACCGCGAATCTCTCCCGATCGCCCACACATTCACCATGACTTTGGTTCTCGCCGGAACCAGGTATCCATCGACGACCACATCTTGCTGGCTCTCTCTTGGAGCGAGCAGAGGACCGTCGGGATGCAACCTCAAGACCTCGTTGATGACCGGCTCATGTACTTCAGCTCGTCGAGTCCTTGTTCCTCGACCCTCCCTTTCCCACGAAACACCTGTCGAACTTCTTCCTGCGCTTTCTGCATCACTCTCGGGTTTCTCATCAGCTCAGACATGGTCCACTCGATTGTAATCGACGAATTCGCACTACCACCGAGGATCAACTCCTGAGTGGAAGAAAAAAAAAACACGTATGGTACATTAATGTTTGATTTGTTAAGCGTGCAGAAAGTCTCACTGGATATGTACTTACAGTGGCAACTGCTTTGATGTTGTCATTGGTCAACGGGGATTCTAAATCAGTGCAATTTTCTTGGAGATCCAGAAGAACATCGACAATGTAAACGGCTGCTTGTTCCTTGCCTGCAACAGCTCTTCTTGCCAAGTGCTCTTTGATTATCTCGTCCAGCAAAACATCCGCTGCTCGATGCAGGCGGTTGAGTTTAGACCGGAATCCGGTCAACGTCGGGAGAAATTTGACGGAAGGGTACAAATCGGAGACGGTCATGCCCCCGAGCACGTCGGAGATACTATTCACCACCGCCATGAAAGATTCGGTGTTCTCTCGAATGGCTCCGAACGCTGACATGGCAATCACTCGATTGGACGCCCAGAACAGAATCTCGCCAAGATTCACGCGATGATCATCGGTGGTCATCTTCTTCTGACTGGACAAGAATATTCGACGAACCATGTTACAGGACAGCTCATCCTCTCTTACGGAGCGGTAAGAGAGGACGCGCCTGTCGCTCAGCAGCTCCATCATGCAGATCTTCCGCATCTGGCGCCAGTACGCGCCATAAGGGGTGAATGCGATCCCCTTTTGGCCGTAGAAGATCACGTCCGCGGCCAGGACGTAGGGCCTGGACGCCAGGGCGGCGTCGTGCGTCTTCAGGACGTCCCTGGCGGCCTCCGCCGAGGAAACTACCACGTGGTGCAGCTCTCCGAGCTGGAGCTGCATCACGGGCCCGTACTTTCGGGATAGCTCTCGGAGCCGGCGGTGGGCCGGCTCAGAGCTGATGATCAGTTGGTGGAGGTTTCCTATGATCGGGAGCTTCCATGGCCCCGGCGGTAGACGGTTCGAAGCCGTTCGGGGCTTGGATTGTTTCTTCGAGATGAACCAGCTGGTTGCTAGCAGTATGACAGTAACTGCGAGGAGGAAAGGGATGCATAACTCCGGCAACAATTCCATGGTGAACGGCGACAACAACTGGGAACTCTGTAACTTTTTACTTCTTTGGTAAGTTGTTTTTCTTCCTTCGATAACTTACTAGGTTGCTAAGTTTTGATATTAATGATCATCAAACTTGCGGCCAATCTCGTTGCCTCCCGGGTTATTAATTATATACGACACTAAGCACACCACTAGGCTACTGCCTCATATAATAATTAGTGGCTTTTTAATTAGTTAACCATCAAACCCTAGCTAACTCAAAGTGGCAAGGTATAGAACTACGCCTATGTTTGGCCCGGCTTTTAGAAGTGCTTTCCGGCTTCAAAAGCTGAAGCAGGGCCAAACACCTCTAAAAGCTCGGCTTTTGAAAAGCCGAAAAACGTTTGGAGCTTCTGCGAAAAGCTGTTTTGAAAATACAAGATTATCCTTACCATATTTTAATTTTATTTCAGAAAATATAATTTTCCTTCATTTATATCATTTTAAAAATAAAATAAAATATAAAATCATATTATTTAATATAAAAGAAATATAACAAATCCATTTTGACTACTTTTTATTGTTTAGAATTTTTATTTTTATTTTATATTATAAGTCCTTTATAGTCATTTTACACAGTCGCTCATATTAAAAAGCACTTCTAATAATTTTACAGCCAAACACTAAACTGTTTTTTTTTAAAAGTACTTATCTAAAAGCTCCAGCCAGAAGCTGCTTCTGGAAAAGCTACAACAGGGCCAAACTAAGCCTACATACGCTAAAAGGAAGAAGTAGATGGGCCAAAATCACATTTCTTCTACTGAAACCCGTAACAACTGTCCGATCGTATAAACCTTCTATCAGAATCTAAATCGATAGATTGTTTTTAGCAGCATAAAACGATTGAACCGTGATTGAAGAACAAAATACTCTACCACACTGCCTTTTCCAGCACACAACGAAATTACCAGTGGCTAGTGGCTGGATGGCTGCTACTTTTTCTTTGGGTTAATTGCATGATTGGTCACTGAAATTACAAAAAAAGTTCATGTTTGGTCACTGGAAATATTTAAATCCAATCTTGGTCACTCAAATTAGTTAAATGGTTCAAGTTTGGTCACTCTCCGTCCATTTCCGTTAACTCTAGCTTATGTGGCAGTCAACTTTCATAGTTGACCGTTAAATATGTGATGTGGCAATTAAAAAATTATTAAAAATAAAAAATAAACTATTATATTTTCCACCTCATTATTACAGTCATAAAAAAATTTAAAAAACTAATTTCTTTTCTACACACCCCAATCGCCGACTACCGCCACCGCCGCAATCGCCGACTGCTGAAACCACTCCTCCGGTGGTTGATTCTTCTCCTTCGCCGCCTGCTCCGCAGGGTTTAGCTGGGGTGCGCAAGGATCTCGCCGAGATTAAGGGGAGCTTGAAGGCTGGCTCGTCTCTGCTCTCGCGGACGGGGATTTCGAAATTAACCGCCAATTTCTTCCACGAGAGGATAGACGAAGAGGAGGAGGATGATAAGCCTCAAATCTCGAAGCTAAGGAATCAGCGTACCAACACCTCAACCCTTCGAACTTGTGGAATTGAAACTCGGAACTGGAAAAGAAGAACAGGGAAAGATGGGTTGGAAGGTGCAACTTCAACACACGAAATCGGGGAAGAGGCTCGATCCAAATAGGTAGCAACTCGTCCACGATTGATGTGATGACTCAATCGATGCTGAGCTCGCTCGTTGATGGATTTGATCCCACGCAACAAGGACAATCAAAGAGCATGAAACTCCATGACTAGGGTTCTTATTAAACTTCAAAAACTGAAAACTTACAACGCAAACGACGATTACTTAAATAGCTAGCTAGTATAACTCGACTAACAACTTCCTTATCCTACTGGAACTTGACAAAACAAGGTTTAAACTGAAAAGGAATAAACTTCAACTCAAACAAGGAAACAATGAAACCATTCTGCCTGCAGCTCCAAGTCACCAAACAGCCTTTGATCCCATCTTCGAGGCCTTCGATGGACGACTTCCAGATATGAAACAATTCACCCAATGCCCTTCCTTTGTAGATGAAAATGCATATTTTCATGTGGTATCGAGCCCCTGACTCAATTCTCTGTCCTCTGCCCAGAATGGAACTCCAAAGTGACCTTCCTGAACATACCTCCAGAAGAACATCGAATTATGGAAAACTGCCAGTTGTGTGATAGCTACTTTGAGCCCGTGGGAAGCAGCATTAATGGCGTCGTATGAATCTGAAACCCATACCATCTTGTTCAGAAAGTCTTCATGATCAAAACGACACCCTAAACTCCCATTTTCATCAGCCCAATTGGTAGAACCGAGCTCCCAAAGTTGACTACCTGAACACGTCAATACACTTAGCCAAAAGTCCAGATTGTTCAAATGAGTTGGGTTAGCTTCGTGGGCAAGTAATTCGAGCTTGGTAATGACGCAATTCTGGGTTGTATCAGAGGAGGAGGAAGGTGGTGGTGATGATGATGAGGAAGAGGATTACGTGCCTCGGATCACGGATGAGGTCGTTGAGTTCGCTAGTAAGATTTCTGCTAGGTCTGCTTGCTGGACCGACTTTCCGTTGGCTCTCGAAGCTGGTAAAATCTTGCTCTGCCTCCAACTTTCGGGTTTCGTTCCTTCTTTATTGTCGTTTGATTGGTAGTTTTAGGGTTGATGATATTTGGGGCTTGGAGGAACAATCATGTTAGGAGAATTTAACTGGTAGTTCCTGTAGCTAGAACGCTAGTGTTGAGATTTCCATTGTTTCTTGTTTTTGGGGTTGAGACGAAATTCGCTCCAACGGCTTCGAATGGGTGGCGGAAAAGGAAAAGAGGGACAAAGAAGGGTTCGTCTTGATTCATTGGGGGTGCTCTGTTTTCTTTGCTTCCGGTAATGACGATACAAGCGCAGTTCTACGGCTCCCAGGAATGGCCGGTGGTGGAGAATGGGGTTGTTCCCGGTGTCGCCGGAGCTGGTTTCATGAACAACAATTCCTGCTTCTTGATCAACAATCTCGAGCAGCAGCAACAGAAGCAGGAGCAGTTTCATAACAACAATCTTCAGCAGCAGCAACAGAGGAATGGGGGAAATCTCATTAATAATAATAATGGCCTCTTTGTTGATTGAAAATTTGATTGAAAATTCAATTTTCTAGGGTTTAAAGAAACCGTCTTTTGTTACCTCTCAGCGGCGAGATTGATGGATAGGTCGGAGCAGTGACGGGAGCGGATCTCGGAGAGGGTTCCGTCGCTCCAGGCGATGGCAGAGCGGAGCATGGAATCGATCTGCCTCTCGAACTCCAGAGACCACCAGCGAGGGAACGCCGGCCCGGAATCGAAGCAGGCGTTGAGGTCGAAGGCGGAGTGGAGCAACGAGTCGGCGCGCTTGCAGAAAAAAAATTAGGTTTTGGGGTGTGTAGAAAAAAATTAGTTTTTTTAATTTTTTTATGAATGTAATAATGAGGTGGAAATATAAAAGTTTATTTTTTATTTTTAATAATTTTTTAATTGCCACGTCACATATTTAACGGTCAACTATGAAAGTTGACTGCCACGTAAGCTAGAGTTAACGGAAATGGACGGAGAGTGACCAAACTTGAACCATTTAACTAATTTGAGTGACCAAGATTGGATTTAAATATTTCCAGTGACCAAACATGAACGTTTTTTGTAATTTCAGTGACCAATCATGCAATTAACCCCTTTTTCTTTCTATGTTTTGCTTCTTTTTAATTTTTCTTTTCTTCCTTTCATCTCTGTATTTATTTTTGGATGTATTCTTTTCTTTTGTTTTCTTTCTCTCTTAATTAATGCATTTGTGTCATCATTCTCAAAGTATAGATACACAAATTTAACTACTTCCCCCCCCCCCCCCCCTAACTAGTTTATTGGTTCATATCAGTGTTGGAACTTGGGACCATAAAATTACGTGTTAGATTCTAAAGATTATTCAATTTGCTTAGTGGACATTATTATTTAGAGATCAAAGGTTGTCTATAGTGTACAGTTTCGCTTATTTAAACCATCAGTAAGTGTACTAGTAGCCATATATCATCCACACAAAAAACGGAAAGAAACAAACTGTTCAGAAAAAGGGAGGGAAAAAAAAAACTATCTACTGATCTCATGATTAATTTGTATTCTCAGTCTGCGGCGGCGGAGTCAAGCACCGGCGACAACACCATGGAGCCGACGATCATCTCTCGTCCACTAGCAAACTTCTCTCCCTCTGTTTGGGGTTCCAGATTTGCTTCGCTTTCTTCATCTCCCACGGTAAGATCGCCGGCCGGCCGGCCACATCATCTTTTAAACATTTTGTTACGCTGCTGCATGCATGCATGCATGTATTAAGGATGTATGCATGGGATCGGGGGGCAGGAAATGGAATTCTACCGGCGGCAGGTGGAGCGGGCGAAGGCGACGGTGGAGAAGATGCTGGCGGCGGCTTCAGCAGCCGACGGCGGTACGTTTCGAAACGTGGAGCTCATCAACTTGCTGGAGCGGCTTGGCGTGTCGTACCATTTTGAAGCTCAGATCGAAGACCAACTGAGGCTCATATTCGAGCAATCTCTCTCCGATGTTACGGAGAGAGATGACGGCCTCTACTCCGTTTCGCTGGCGTTTCGAGTACTACGCCAGCATGGATACAGAGTTCCTTGTGGTGAGTAACGAAAGTCTTACTTTGCCACTGTCTAAGTTTGGTGGCAAAAAATTCGTTGTTACTGGTTGCTAAAGGAAACACATATAGTAACTAAATTATTTGGTTTGCCTGCCAATTTTGTTTATACGGTAACTAAAATGATTATTTATGAAATAAACTGCGTCAACGGAGAGTCATTTAATATTTTCATTAACCAACTGATTCTAATAATTTGCATGGAATAAATTTGGTGACAAGAGATCTATGATACTGGTGTTATAAACAATAACTCAAGTTACTGTAATAATTCTATGTATGAATATTAACCACTTTCCTTATCATAATAGATGCGTTTCACAAATTCAAGGACCTAAAGACAGGAGAGTTCAAGGAATGTCTGAGGCGCGACGTGAGAGGGATTCTGAGCCTGTACGAGGCCTCCCACTTGAGGCTTCATGGAGAGCCAATTCTAGAGGAAGCCCTTTCCTTCTCTAGGCAGCAGCTGAAAGAGTACTCAGCCACCAATGTTATAGAGCCTCATTTGGCAGCACACATTGAAAACGCACTGATTTGCCCCTTACACAAGAGCGCTCGGAGGATAGATTCATGGAGATACATCTCCTTCTACGCCCAAGAAGAATCGAGAGACGAAACCCTCCTCAGATTCGCCAAGCTCGACTTCAACTTCGTGCAGCTGATGCACCAAAACGAGCTGGCCTTTGTCTCCAGGTGGTGGAGGGACACGGGCCTTCAAGAGAAGCTTCTTTATGCACGAGACAGAATCGTGGAGCTGTATTTCTGGGCGACGGGGTCTCATTACGAGCCACACAAGGTGGTGTCGAGGATTGCAGCCGCCAAATTTGCCAAAATGGTGTCGCTGGTCGACGATACTTACGATGCCTACGGTACCCCTGAAGAGCTCCAGCTCTTTACTGAGGCTTTTAAGAGGTACCACGAGAATACTATATGCTTCACAAATGGGGTCACGGGAATTCGAACAAAAGACCTCTCGACGATATAAGCCTTTGATATACCCATGTCAAGAATTAGTTGCTCCCAACTACTCGAATTGTTGAAAGAGTATAATGGACGATGTTATACCATTCACTAACATCAATATTGGGTTTTGCCTTTTTTCAGATGTGACGACGAGAGTGCGGTTGAGCAGCTTTCGGATGACATGCGGCTCCTTTTTCGGGCATTCCTCAAACTTTGTGATGAAATGGAAGAGGACATGAAGAAAGAGGGGAGATGCTACGGCGCACACCACGCTAAGGATGCTGTAAGATCCATCATTTAAGCTTTTTTACCATGGTGTTGTTTTTGGTTTCTGGTTTGGTTAACCTAATTTCCCATAATAATGTACATATATATAGTTCAAGGAATTGTCGAGGGCATATGATACAGAGGCAAAATGGCTGGCGAGTCGCTACACACCGACGGTGAAAGAGTTTATAGCAAATGGCATACCTTCAAGCTCTTACGGCGTGATCTCAGCTGCATACTTCATTGGAATGGGGGAGGACATGGGGATCAAAGAATACGAGTGGCTGAAAACCAACCCAACAATCGATACAGCAGCAAAGCTCCTCGGGCGGCTTCTGAATGACATCATGAGTCACGAGGTACGTATATAATAACTCGAGTTATCTGGAGAGGTTCAACAGTAAAAATCTTATACTGTGCTGCGGCTGCTGCGATATGAATATGCATGATAGGATGAGCAGAAGAGAGGGCACTGTCCATCTGCGGTCGAATGTTACAAGAAGGAGAACGTGGTGTCGGACGAAGAGGCCGTGGAGGCGATCAAGAAGATGTGCGATGACGCCTGGAAGGACTTGAATGAGGAGTGCATGAAACCGACTCCAGTTGGGTTGCCTGTGATTCAACACTTTCTGGATCTCGTTCGAATCATCACCTTCATATACATCCGCAACGATTCGTATACGCACTCAGGGTCTCTGAAAGATCACATCACTTCCATCTTACTCGAGTCGATTCCTATCTAGCAGCCCGTGAATGAAAGGTCGGACATTGGGTAGTGGTAGCCAATGTATTTATGCTTTGCTTTTTGATCTATACGGAATAAAGTGCATTTGTGCCCATGGCTTAAGATTTCGTTTTGGTACCAGAGTTTAAACCAACCCACATACTACTCTAGCTCAGGTTTAAACCAAACCTCCCACATGGACATGAAGGAAGATGTTTTTGCTAATGGCATGTGTTGAAGAAAGTTGTTACAAGTGAAGAAGAATGTAAGTGAATAGCGATTCATAATTGTACCAACTAGTTAATCTGGTGAGTCAATTTGAGACCAAAACCATCCGATCCACACATTGTCCGTTCACTCCTAATAGGAGGTATAACTCTTGATTATGCATCTGTCGCATAACCAGATCCGACACCTTACACACTACAAGAAACAACGCCTTTGGGACGGTATTCGTCGCAAATAACCCAATAATCCGTCGCGAAATGTTTTTGCTACGAAATGGTTTCCGTGACGAAAATATGGCACTCGTCGCTAAAAACAACAGTGCGTTGCAAAACCAACACCTTTTACGCGACGCTAAATTTCCGTCGCTAAAGGCCTATTTTTTTGTAGTGGATTTAGATCTAAATGGTTTGATTACCTTACAGCATTTTTTGTTTTGATCCCAATTTTGAATTTTTTTACATAGATCAAACAAGTGTATGGTTAGTACTTAGAATATTATTTCGGATTCTATCTTTCGTGAGGCGGCTAATTAAAGCTTAGTTGCTATATAAATTACAATTCCCACCACGGGCAGGATTCCAAGAAACATAACACATGCATTTGTCTTTTCTTTCTTCTCTGCTCTTTTGTCGCTAATCTTAATTTATCCAAACTGCTGTGGTTTCTACTTTCTGTATGGACAAGGAATATAATACAACTAATTATTGGTCATCAGGGTAATTTAATTAGTAGTTTAGCACTGGCGGCTGCTATATATAAATCATATATAATATAATGCAGCCTGTGAAGCGCATCTATATGTCCTCTAATAACAATATTCATTATAATTCGCCAGGCGGCTGATGTTATTGTTGCATTACAAATAAGTGTATAGTCATGCAGCCTGTGAATCGCATCTATCATCTAATAATTCATTATAATTCGACAGGCGGCTAATGCTATTGTTGCTTTAGAAATTATGATGCCTCCCTTCAGGCTAATTGTCGTTAATCTTAATTTATCCTAAAGTACAAAAAACTGTAATAGGGATAGGGGGCAAGGGGGAGAAAAGTATAATATATATGGAAGTACTGGGTACCCTTCCAATTTCCGTGAACTTAAAATGATTCGTCGAATCTCGATGATAATTACGTGAAAGCATATTGGGCTGTGTACTAATTACAATAATTAATTAGCTATGTGTATCTGTGTTTGTGGAATCTCGATATAAGAATTGGAGCGTGAAAGGGTATTGGGTTGCGTACTAATTGTCTACCAAAACAGGTGCTTAATTACTAATTATGTCATACATAAAAAAAAAAGTACTTATTATGTCATTAGCCAGTGAGAAATGAACTACAACCAAGATATCTCTACTGAAAAATCCTGCAATTCACAAGTTTATCGTAGTGTGAGAATCTTTGCAGATACCGACAAACCTATGTTCTTTTTAGGGATGGCTATACGGTCCGATCCGGTTAAATTGGCCCAAATTGATCCGGTCCAGTCCGGTTTTTTTGAAAATATAAGGACCGAAGATTGGATTGGATACAGTCCGGTCTTGATCCGGTCCGGTTTTGACCCGGTCCGGTCCCAATTCGGTCTTGATTTTATATTGAGATTGTGGGAATTTGAGTGGCCTAAGGCCTAAAAGGGTGAGGAGTTGGTTAAGTTTTGTACTAAGTGCAAAGGTTTGTGACCGTTTATGCAAATTACCCTTAAGTTTTGGGTGTTGAGCTCTCTTATCCGGTTTTTTACCTCCAATCTAAGCCCAAAGATTGGATTGGATTTTTTACTATCCGGTCCCGGTCCGGTCTCGGTCCGGGTTATGCGGTCCGGTTTCCGGTTTTTTATCCGGTCCCGGTCCAAATAGCCAGCCCTAGTTCTTTTGTCCTCGTAAATATTGCTTTTTCAAAAGAGAACAGTTCCTCAAACCGACAAAACTCTAGTTACTATAAATTATAATTTTTTTATATAACCATAATAACACTAAAATGATTTGGTTAATTGGTTGAAGGTTTTATACACTTAACTACCTGAGAAAAGTTTTAGGGTAAAGTTCACCCTTTATCCAAGGTTGTATTTTGAAAGCACCTTCTCACTAGTATGAATTTATTTTTTTTAAATGTCGCCACTTTGGTGTATCTACCATCTGTATAAAATTTCATACAACTAATATATCACAGCAACATGTGCCAAAGACTTTGGATGATATAGAGTGAACCACACCATTGCACACGACTCTTTCCAACTATTGAAACTTAAATACCATCGTCGAATTTGGTGGGTGAATTTTCTTTTCTTACGGTATCAGAGCATCTCGACCCTTGTTCCCTAGGTTTTTTTGTGACTTCATTTATTTTTTTTGTTCATGATGGTTCTTCATCATCGTTGCTGTGATTTTCACCTCAATCGTCTTCTTCCTCGTAGCCAACTTTTCTAGTAGCTCTTGACCCCAACAATCTGTTGTTCTTTAACACAAAGGATTTTGTATCTTTTCCTTATCTTCTACAAGGTTATGTGTTAACCGTACTTATAAATTGTGGTATCTTGTAGGTAACCTTAATGTGTATGTGCCTTCATAAATTGAATACCGATAGTTGTTGTTCTTGTTTCTGTTGTACCTTCAATGAGTCTTAACTATTTGATATTCTCCATTATGACTATCAGTAGGAGATGAGTGTGTAAGACGGTGGAATAACTCTCGATATAACAGTAAAAGCAAAGCATGTAGGTGGTCAAACACTTTTAGTTTACTCTTACAACTGCTTTCATCTCAAATTTTGAAGGATCAATCACCTGATCTGATCCAACTGAATTGAAAGAAGTGGATAAACACATTTCACTAGCTAGTAAGAGAATACAAAGAAAGTCATGGTGCAGAACTGTATGCAACTAGGATCAAACACAACGGGCAGTTTCTACGCAATGTAAGTCCAAAACGTTCTTTGTCATGTTTAGATTGCTCGGCTTCATTTCGGCTGGGAGGAGACGATGCCGCGTGGCAGCTCGCCGAGCTGGAGACGCATCACGGGGCCGTGCTTCTTGGTGGAGGTTGCCAATGATCGGGAGCTTCCATGGCCCCGGCGGCAGGTTATAAGCTGGAGAGCTTTTGCTCTTTCTGCCGGCTGCGATCACGACGGCGCCGGTAAATAGTACATAGGAGGAGGAGAGGGATGGTGGTGGACGGGAAGAGAAATATCGAATTCTGCAAGTAATGTTCCATGGGAAACGAACCTTTTGCGACGACTTTTTTCTTCTTCTTTTTCGTTGTTACTGGTAGATGAAAATGGGAAACGTGAGTCCCCTCCAATTATAATATAGACTGCATGCGCCGAATCACGGGTTGAGTTTGCGGGATAAAAGGTTCCGGCGGGAGCCGAGCCGGGACGAGGGTCCAAGTCTCGGCAGGTATACGTAGCAGTCATCTGCCAGACTGTCGTTAATAATATCATGATATAACAATGATAAACTTAGAAAAATTCTTATTTCGAGGGGTTATTTTTCCTAGTAACGTCAACTCCATATATAGGAAGATTTCCTTTTACTCAGAAAACTATTGTGGGAGCCATCAGCTAATGATTTATCGCAAGCTATGCTCTTCCTCACTTTCCTTCTCTTTCTGCCCCTATCCTTCCTCATCATCCTACGGCGCTGGTCCACCAACAACGAAAACGTCGATGTCGTATCGAAGCTGAGCCGTCGTCGTCTCCCTCCAGGCCCATGGAAGCTCCCCATCATCGGCAACCTCCACCAGCTGGCGCTCCACCCTCTCCCCCACGTCCGGCTTCGAGACCTGGCCCTCAAGCACGGCCCCTTGATGCACCTCCAGCTCGGCGAGGCCTCGACAGTCGTCGTTTCGTCCCCGGAGGTCGCTAGGGAGGTGATGAGAACCCACGACGTCAACTTCTCGAACCGCCCCCTCCTCGCCTCTGCCAGGGTCTTCACCTACGACTTCAGCAGCCTCTCGTTCTCGCCCCACGGCGAGTACTGGAGGCGACTCCGAAAGATCTTCGCCCTCGAGCTGCTCAGCAGCTCGAGGGTCCACTCTTTCCGGTCCATTAGGGAAGAGGAGGCGGCCCAGGCAGTCGCTGGGCTCGCCCGTGCTGCTGCAGCAGCACGCTCGGCGCCTGTAAACCTCAGCAGGTTGGTGTACGAGTGGACGAGCTCCGTCACAGCGAGGGCGGCTTTCGGAGGGAAGACCGGTGAGGATCAGGCCGAATTTTTCACTATTGCGGACGAGATCCTGCGGGAGGCTGCAGGGTTTAGCCTGGCAGACGTGTTCCCATCTCGCAGATGGCTACACAGGATTTGCGGGATCGAGGCCACGTTGGTCGACATTCGTCGGCGACTAGACCGTGTGCTCGACAATATAATTTCCGACCATAGGGCTAAAAGGACGAGGGGCAGCGACGACGATGATGGTTGTAGTACTGGAACGGCCAAAGATCTAATAGATGTGCTACTGAAGCTGCAGGAGGATGGGCAGCTTGATTTTCCCTTGGGGGATGACAGTCTTAAGGCCGTTATTATGGTATGGATGCTATCCTAAATTAAAATTAGTGCTATATTTGAACATCTATTATCATACACAGTAGGAAAACTATTTTGTGACGAAACAATATAATGGTTGCTAAATATTGAATTTTGGTTGAAAAACGTATTCCGTGACTAAAACTTTTTGTTAGAATCTTCGGTCACATTTCACCATTAGGAAAACTATTTCTTACCAAATGTTCGATTAGTCACAATAAATTTACCCTTTTTGTAACCAAATGTATAAATGGTCACAAATTATTTTTGGCTACCAATCAAATTTGATTACTCTACGAAAAATGAATAATGAGATTAACGTCATTTTGGAAACTTATGCGTATGAGGTGAGAACGCTTCTATTTTTATTTTTAGCTTTTGCGTATAAGCTGGATATACTCGGTTAAATTTCTTTTATAATTTGCTACCAATCTATTTTGTTATGTGAATCTTAATTAAGGTCGTACTCGTACTTCTGCAGGACATATTCGTAGGTGGCACTGAAACTTCCTCCACGACAGTTGAATGGGCAATGTCCGAATTGTTGAGAGACGAAAAGACGCTAAAAAAAGCACAATCTGAGGTAAGGCGAGTGTTTGGCTCGACAGGGATCGTAGAAGAAGCTCGTCTCGGCGAATTGAAGTACCTGAAACTGGTACTAAAAGAAGTATTGAGGCTTCGTCCAACTGCACCACTGCTACTTCCTAGACAAAACTCTGAGAGATGTGAAATTGATGGGTACGATGTTCCTGCTAATACTAGAGTACTCATCAATGTATGGGCCATGGGAAGAGATCCTAAGTACTGGGTGCAACCCGATGAATTTATTCCCGAACGATTCTTAGATTCGTCTCTCGATTACAAAGGAACGAATTACGAGTTCATTCCTTTCGGAGCGGGAAGAAGGATGTGTCCGGGTATGGCATTTGGGATGGCGAATGTCGAACTTCAACTGGCAAACTTGTTGTACCATTTCGACTGGGAGCTTCCTGAAAACGAGGGAAGCTTTGAAGATCTAGACATGTCTGAAACTTTTGGTGTGACGGTGAAAAGGAAACACGATCTGTGTTTAATTCCCGTCTCTTACTTACCCTGCCTTGCACCAACATAAACTACCCATAATTTGGTATGAAGCCTTTCTTTGGTTCTTGTATCGTTCTGTTTGATTTGTACAATAATGGTTTCTACTATATATAGATTTGGCTTTATGTATCCTTGTGTCTTCTTTTCGGTATAGTCTTTACATTCAACGTAAGTACAATTTCAATTTGTACCTAAAAGTGTCGGGGTTAGTGCAGATTATAAAGTTTCTAATAATATTCAAGTCAAAAAATTCTATTAATCTAACACTGGTGGAAAATCCGTAAACCATATTGGTGCTTTCATATATTTTTCATTATATCTTTTCCACTGTTATAATGGTGATGTAAATTTTTTATTTCAAAAGGAAATTACAACAGATACACAAGTTACACTATGATTGTCTGCAAAATTCGTAGTACAAATTATCACTATATATATTTTAACTGAGCCTCTTTCTAACAATTCGAATTATCGAAACCAACTAATTTGATTCGTGCTTTGGAGATAAGAAACTAATCAGTATAAGAGATTTTGTTTTAAGAAATTTTGTGAGGAATTTAATTAAGTCTCATTTGAAAACCCAAGTAATTTAGACAAGAAATTTTGTTTGATAATGAGTCCGGAATTGGAAATGAGCAATTTAATTATTACTGAAAAATTGAAAGTACTGCTTTGCCCTTCTCCTATCTTCTTCGCAGACCCGCAAAAAACCCCTAACCCATATCTTTTGTGAACGGTGTCTTTTTACCAACGGAATCGTCTCTTTCTTTTTCTTTTGAAAGGAACGGAATCGTCCAATTTAGCTTATACATTACTCGAGGAAACACTTTTTCTCGAGACAAAGCAAGTACAAGTAACAAAAGGTTCCCAGTAAAGGTAGAAATGTTTTAGCGACGGTTGGAACCGTCACTAACTGTCAAAAGACCGTCGCTAAATGCCTTTTCGGTTGTTGTGAACCATGAATCCATATGAAACGATGATCATATATCCCCTGGCTGGCATGATCTAAAGAAAAAAACAAAACGCAATGCTCGATGATGACTATCAAGGGAAAGCTTCGATGAGGGATCTGACGCCAAGAACTGGATGGATTTTGAAGCTGGAGAAGCCGGCAGCTACGAGCAGCTTCTTCCACTGCTTCTCATCTCGCTCTCTCCCGTTGACAAGAGCCATCATCAGCATATCAAGGCAATGCTCGATCTCATCCCCACAGTAAGATCCTGAAAGCTCGTTCTTGTTGTTTATTCCACGAACAATGTCTACGATGATAACCTTACCGCCACCCTTTGATGACGACGACGAGGCTGCTGCTTCTCTGCAGAGCTTCAGCAGCTTCACGCAGCGCTCGTCGTCCCAGTCATGGATGACCCACTGCATATAATTAGAGTATGAGTAATACGAGTAGTATATTTACGCGCGCATTAATGCTTAATGAAAGAGGTTACGTTGAGCACGCGAAATGCGGCGACGGACCTTGAGTAAGATGGCTTCTGCAGAGGGAACATTTTGGAACATGTCCCCGGCGATAAACTCAACACCAATATGATCCCCCTGAAGCTCCCCGACGACGTGCGGGAGGTCCAAAACAGCGCACTTCATATCCGGAAACGCTTCAGCCACGGCCGCCGTCACCGTCCCCGTACCGCCACCGACATCCACCAACGACGCAACGCCATGGAACACATGCTTGCACCTCGATAGCAGTGCACCGGCAAGCAGTTTCGAGTCGCTCGCAAGGCTCTCGTGAAACAGGGCCTTCAGCTCCTCACCGCCGGTCCCGCCGCTGCCGCCGCCACTCACGTAATCCCAAAACGACATGCCGTTTGCGATCTCGAAAGGCGTAGCAGCAGCAGCAGTGCTGCTCTGACTGGCTCCGACGATGATGTCATGGTCTCGTCGGAGCCAGGTGCTGAGGACGGACCACTGGTCCTTCATAGCAGGGTGGAGCTGAAGCAGCACCAGCGCCACCTGCTGCTGAGGGTGGTCCCTCAGCAGCAGGCGCGACGCAGGAGTCAGCGAGTAGTGGGGCTGCAGGTCGACCTCCTCTTCTCCTCCTCCTTCCGGCAGTGGCTGAAAGCAGGAGAAGAAGAGGCCGCCGGACTTGGTGCTGAGGATGCGCATGAGGCAGGCGAAAGCGTCCGCTTTCGTCGGAGGGATTTGGAGGATGGAGGTGAGCTGGGAGAGTGAGATGCCGGCGGCCGCGGGCGGTGGCCGGCCGTGTTTGTGGATGGCGTCGGGGATGCCTAGCTCGATGGCGCATTTCCTTGACATGGTCATGATGTGGCTCAACGCCCAACTCCATATCTGCGCCTGAGCTTCGAGTAGCTGATCTTGAGAATCCATGAATGATCAATTAATGTTAACAATTTGCCTGGAAGAGCAAGAAAACTGTTTGGCAAGTGCTAATGGTTATTATAGATAGATCATCTTGTGGAGTGGCTATCTCGAATTATTGTGATAGGTTGGTAGTGGGTATCTCGAATTATTGTAACTAATTTTTATTACGATATAGTTTTCCGTGACTAAAACCATTAACCACATAACACAACTTTCATACCGAGGATTTTCCATGACTAAATGCCATTTTTCCCGGTAGGTAGAGTGATGCTAGTGACGTGAGTGATGATGACTGCAATAATTATTGAATAAAATACTAATCAAATTAAGTTTGAGGACTAATTAATTTGGTTTACACTCTGTAGTCTGTGTTATAGGGATAATGACAAAGCCCCGTGAACTTGTGCACGCTACCCTATCCAAGCTATAGCCAACGTCGAAACGAGAATCAACTCTGAACTGATTATGATAAACAATTGAAAAATAGGAGATTAGGGGGAAAAGATTATATAATTTCAACCATTAAATTGATTTAAGGGTTGAGAATGAATTATTGAATTGTATAGTGGTGAATTACACAAACCCGTGACCCACCCACCTACCAAGTTGCAAGTGGTAGTGATTTCACTAGCTTATAGTTAAGATAATTATTTTAATTCTTAATGAATTCCTTATATTTTTCATGGAATGATTGGTAAAATACAAAAAAATAATAATTATAGTAGCATGGTATGATTGATGTTTCAATGTTTCAAAAAATTAATACAAAAAAATTCATAAGTGTCGTACTATTTCTTGTTATCATTTAACAAAAGAATTTTTGTATGGTATGATTGGTAAAATACAAAAGTTTGTAGATCCACCCACACCAAGGTGACCTGGGTGTGATAAATCCATCTTAAAATATTTCGAATATACAAAAAAAAAAAAAAATTATAATCAAACGTGATAGTCGATCAATAATCGAACGACCTTCTTTTTGTATGCACTTGCATCATAATTGAAACACGACGGATCAATGGATCTCTTTTTGGAACATCGGCAACCTCGCAATCAAGGGAACGGATCAGGTCAGTAACCTGTAACCTTATGGTGAGTAACTATGAATAACCAGCCCACATCACCATGACATCAGCATCCTCTCTCTCCTGGAAAGCCTTTAATTTTCCCCTTCTTAATCTTTGACGGACGATTTCTCACTCGTTTTAAGTCGAATTTAATTTTTTTTTGCACAGTTAGATCAGATTAATTGTGCTCTTCAAAATGATATCCACTTTGATATATTTTTCGAACAAAAAAATTGAGCCATTTTTTACCAGTCTATACCATATGGTATTGACTGGTATTGAAATAAGAGCATACCTATGGTTTGAAAAGCGTACCATGGTGGTATGACACAAACCAAAACTATAGGATGGTTGAATACATGATAGTAGAAGTATATTAATTGGCATTTACGACTTTTAACATTGTATACCATAAGATACCATAAAATACCACCCCGTACCAGGGTGGTATTGTATGGTATTGTGTGGTATTTTTTTGTCTTGTAATTTGTTCACCCATAAATTTGTAGATCCAATAGATCATGATGAACTCGTCCCTGTTGTGCAAACGTTTTCAAAAACAAATGAAAGACGAAGAAGATACCATATGGTATGCAGTTGGTACCGAGAGGCCATAATTTTTTTTCCTAAAAAATTTTTAAAAATTGATCTCATTTTGTAGAGCACGATGAACTCATTCCATCTGTGCAAAAAAAATTAAAATCCGAGTAAAAACGAAAAAGATATGAGTCAATTAAGAAAGCTAGTGAAAATAAAAATGGTCTTTAATTCTCCATCCTTAAATCTGGATTTTCTAAATGAATGGTCCAAATTTGGTTATTGATGGGTGCATAACCCATGGTTATGCACCCTAACTTGAGCCCGCAATCAACAGCGGATCCTTTTGAAAGAGAGTAAGGGAAAATTGAGAGTTAACAGCTGGTAATTACTTATGCTTTTGGCAATTACACAATCGCATCTCTTCTAGGATTAGGATTGCAACCGATTCAAACCAGCATAAGCAAAGACGAGCAAGCCAAACTAGAGCTAAAAGATACATAGAAACAAAATAGCTAGCAAAAAAAACGATACAAAGAAAGTCATGAAGCAGGATTGAACGCAATGGGGACCAAGCACAATGGACTATTCCTACGCAATGTCAGCCCGAATCTTTCCGTCATGTCCAGATCTTCGGGTTTCGTTTTACCAGGGAGTTCCCAGTCAAAATGGTAGAGCAGATTCGCCAACCCGAGTTTAACAATGGCCATCCCGAAAGAAATTCCAGCGCATATCCTCCGCCCCCCACCAAACGGGAGGAACTGAAAGTCTCTTCCCTTGTAGTCCACCGAACAATCGAGAAATCTTTCGGGATCGAATTTCTCGGCGTCAGCACCCCAGGAGCGCGAGTCCCTCCCAATTGCCCAGACATTCACCATGACTTTGGTTCGAGCTGGAACAAGATATCCACCGACAACCAGATCCTCCTGACTTTCTCTCGGAGCTAGTAACGGGCCGTCAGGGTGCAACCTCAAAACCTCCTTGATAACTGCATTCATGTACTTCAAGTCGTCGAGCCCTTGCTCATCAACTTTCCCCTTCCCACGGAATGTTCGTCGAACTTCTTCCTGCACTTTCCGCAGTACTCTCGGATTTCTCATGATCTCGGACATGATCCACTCTATTGTTACCGACGCAGTCCCGCTGCCAGCGAGGAACAGTTCCTAGATACACATGACAGAAACCGAACGTAACTAAAATAACCAATATTAAAGTCAAAGAATTGACAAACCATTGTTAATAACAATCTGTAGTACGTATATACTTACTGTAGCTACTGCTTTGATGTTGTCATTCGTCAATGGAGATTCCAAGCTATTACAATCTTCTGCTTCCTGGAGATCCAGAAGAACATCGAGGATATCGTCCACCGCTGCTGCTGCTGCTGACCGATCGTCATGATTACCCCTTCTGGCTTTGTGTTCATTGATTATCTCCTCGAGTATAAGATCCGCTTCTCGATGCAACGCGGTGAGCTTAGCTCGAAACCCGGTCAGCCACGGAAGAAATCTGATGGAAGGGTAGAGATCGGAGACGCTCAAACCGCTGAGCGCGTCGGACATACTGTTGACCACGGCCAGAAAGGACTCGGTGTTCTCGCGCAGCGCGCCGAAAGCCGACCTTGTGATCACGCGGTTCGATGCCCAGTACAGGATCTCCCCGAGATCCACGGTGGTTGCGGCAGCGGCAGCCACCCGGCGCACCATGCTGCCGCACAGCTCGTCCTCTCTTACCGCGCGGTAAGAGAGGACGCGCCTGTCGCTGAGCAGCTCCATCACGCAAATCTTGCGGACCCGCCGCCAGTAGTCGCCGTACGGGGTGAATGAGATCCCCGTGCGGCCGTAGAAGAAGATGTCGGCCGCCAGGACGAACGGCCGCGACGCGAGGACCGCGTCGTGGGTCCGCAGGACGTCCCTGGCGGCCTCCGGGGAGGAGACCACAACGTGAAGCAGCTCCCCGAGCTGGAGCTGCATCACGGGGCCGTACTTTTCGGCCATGTCGCGGAGGCGGCGGTGCGGCGGGAACGGGGTCAGGGCCAGTTGGTGGAGGTTGCCTAGGATCGGGAGCTTCCATGGGCCTGGCGGCAGCGGCGGCGGCGGGATTTTGGACTTCCGAAGCAAGTTGGTTGCCAGCAGGATGGCCGTAAATGTGAGGAGGAGCAACGGGATGTCGGTCGACGGAGAAAAGGATAAGTGCTTCTGTAACTGTTCCATGGTGAGGTGAGACAACAATATTATTTGGAACTTGATTGGAAACCCCGGATTATTATATAGACAGTGATGAGAATTTTTTTTTTACTGCACTCTCCAAAATTCACTTGTCAATTGTTACTTACTCATCAGTCACTCACCCCACCTCCTCCTTTTCTGGTTTACATCTTTGCCTCATCACAATTCACATCTTGTATAAATCAACCCTCCGTCTCCCCTTTTCTCCTCTACGGGTGACAAACGTTAAGTCGGTAATCAGTTTACCGTTGTATCGAACCGATAACCGGCGGTAAATGGTAAACCAGTTATCGACGGTATCGGTATCCGAGTGTAGATTGTGGGAATTCCATTTACCGGCTCCAGTTACGGTAAATATCGACGATAAGTCGGTAATACTGATATCGGGACCATACGTTGCGTTTTAGGTTTTAGCCGCCAAACCCTATAAAACGACCCCCTTCGCCCTTCACCCCTTCCCTTCGTTTCCAGTTTCTGTTTTCATCTTCGCCGCCTCTCCTTCTCCTCTCCGCTTCTCGCCTTCTCTTGTCTCGAGCCTCGACCGACGAGACCACGCCGCAGCACCCACTTTTCGAAACTCAGACGGCGACGAGTGACGAGAAAGTGCGACCGGCGACGAGCGCTTCCCTTGACTCTCCCTTCCGGCTTCCTCCTTCCTCGCCGACGCCAGCCTCCCAGTCCTCCTCCACCAGACCGCCACCTTCCCCGCGAGTCCTCCTCCGCCAGTACCGCCACTTTCCTCCACCAGTCCTCCTCCGCCAGGCTGCCACCTCCTCGGCTCCTCCAGGCTTCCTCTCCCTTCCCTTGCTCATTGGACTCGGTTTTGGTCCTTTTGGAGAGCAAAGTTTGATTGCCAAACTCTTGCAATTAGCTGGACAGCAGCCTGCCGAGGCAGAACAGGCCAACAACAATAGCAATTGCCAATAAGCAAAGTTTGATTGCTGATTTCAAAATAGTAAAATGTATGTTAATTGAATTGAGTATTGGATTTGCTAGATGGAAATTTATCATTTATGTGTTGATTGAATTTAATTGTCTATTGAGGTTGTGCACTTGTGCTGAATGGTAGTTTGTATTGAATTGAATTGAATTGATTGAAGTTGATTGAGTAATTGAATTGAATTGACTATTGAGCAATTGATGAGAAATTGTCAGTAAATTGATTGAATTGAATTGAGATTGTGCTGAATGGTTGTTTAGGAAATTTATGTGTTCATTTTGTTGTTTTTTGTAGGACGAAACCTTCTGCTGGCAGCCGTGGAGGAGGTAGTAAGAAGAAAGCTAGTTCTCTAACTCCTCGAAGCTCTTCAAAAAAAGGTCAAAGCTTTTCAAAAAAAAGGGAAGGCTTCGACTAGCACACCTTCCACTACTGCAAATCCACCTCCTGAGGCAAATCCTCCTTCATCTGCTGAGGTACCTGGTGTAAAGAAGAAATTTTACAAGGGGAAGGGGAAGGGGAGGAAGTCAAAATCTAAGTGGTGGATTCCTTACACCCGTGAGTTGGTCGATAACTACCCATATGGCAAATGCAAACGGTGTGGCACGCTGATCAAAGCTCATTCAGCCTTCAATGGACTAGTGGTTTGAAGAGCCATCACCTAATGTGCGAGATGAGGGCGATGGAAGCTAGTGGTCAGTCGGTATTGAACTATCGACCTGGAAGTGGAGATGGTGAGGCAGGTTCTCTAACTCCATGGAAGTTTGATCAAACCAAATCTAGACATGCATTAGCTATGATGGTAATCTTGGATGAGCTTCCGTTTAGATTTGTTGAGCGGGAGGGGTTTTAGGAGATTTATGGAAACAACTCAGCCTTTGTTTGTGATACTTGGAAGGCAAACTATAAGATCTGATTGTTATGTCATTTTTCTAGAGAGGAAAGAGATATTGATTGAGTTTTTTTAACTCAAAGTGCAAAGGAAAAATATCTATCACTACAGATACATGGACTAGTGATAACAACCCGAATTTTATGTGTGTGACTGCACATTTTATTGGAGATGATTGGAAGTTGCAGAAGATGATTATTTGCTTTGTTTCCATTACTAGTCACACGGGGAAGGATATTGCAGATACTTTGGAGAAGTGTCTACAAGAATGGAAAGTGAAGAGTTTGTTTTGCATGACAATGGATAATGCCAGTTCCAATAATGTTATTGTTGAGTGCATGAGAACAAAAATGAAGGGGTAGTGATCGAATTTGCTAGATGGGAAGTATTTGCAGTATAGATGTGTGGCACATATCATTAATCTGGTTGTTTCTGATGGATTGAAGGAGGTTGGAGTTGTTGTGGAGTGGGTAAGGGATTGTGTGAAATGGGTGAAGTCATCCCCAATTCAGAGTGCAAAGTTCAAGAAAGGCATCAGCTATCTAGATATGGATGGGGAAAGACTGTTGTATTTGTATGTTCCGACTATGTGGAATTCCACCTATCTGATGTTGGATTCTGCAGAGAGGTTTGAGTAGGTTTTTAAGTTCATGTATGCTAGTCCTACTGATTCTTCCTTTCGAGACTATGTGGACTCCAAGAAGGGTCTTCCAACTGAAGATGATTGGAGCAGTATTAGGCGGCTCATGAAGTACCTGAAGTTCTTTTATGAGCTTACTCTTCGTGTATCAGGTTATGAACTAATAACTATCAAATTTTAAAATTAAATTGAATGATTATGAGTTATATTATTTATACTAATGTTCAGTAAATTTTACTTTGTATAAGGAACATCATATGTCACTGCACATACTTTCTGCAAAGCCATTGTGTATATTCATGAAGTGATAGCAACATTGAAGAAAGATGCAGACGGACAGATACAAAGAATGACAGAAAGAATAGAGGCAAAGTGAGAAAGTATTGGTTGGAGAATGATGTTGATGACAGAAGGATAACCTTAGTATAAATAGGATAGTTAACATGGATTGTGTACTCGATCCTATTCTCCACCAACGATTAAGTCCATTAGGCATAGAATTGGGCCAATTTATTTTTGGATGACATTTTCGTAATTCTTTGGGCGATTTTTTCCCGAAAGGCCCCATTGATTTTGATGGCTACAGATCACGGATTCGGCCTGAGGCTATTATTCAACGACGAGTAAGACCATTATGCACAAATTTGGGCGGATTTCTTCCGGGTCCATTTTTGGCAGATTCCAAAGAGGGTACTATCACAGATTTCGGGCGATTTTTCCGAAATGCTATTTTCTTTCGATTTTGGAGGCTACAGATCACGGATTCATCACGAGGCTACGCTCCACCGATAATGAAGTCTATTGATCATATTGTTCACCAATGATTAAGTCCATTAGGCATAGAATTGGGCCAATTTATTTTGGGATGACATTTTCGTAATTCTTTAGGCGATTTTTTTTCGAAAGGCCATTTTCCATGGATTTTGAAGGCTACAGATCACGAATTAAGCCTAAGGCGATTCTTCACCGACGAGTAAGTCCATTAAGCATGAAAGTAAGCGGATTTTTTTCGGGTCCATTTTTGGCAATTTCCAAAGGGTTACAATCACAGATTTCAAGCAATTTTTTTGAAATTTTTCTTTCGATTTTGGAGGCTAAAGATCACGGATTCAGCCCGAGAGTATTCTCCACCGATAATGAAGTCTATTGATCTTATTCTCCACCGATGACTAAGTCCATTAGGCATAGAATTGGGAGTTGCTATTAGTCGTCCTAACATTCCTATTTGTCGTCCTAACTTTAATATATAATTACTATTTTGTCCAAATTAAAATTTGAACCAAATTAGCAAACAAACCCCACCCATGGATTACCACCTTCCTCCCGCCCATCAGATTCTGTTGCAAACCATACCCCAACATTACATTCCTCTCGCCGACCCACCCGACGGCCGCCGCAGACCATAAACCCAGCTGTCGCGCCACAACAACCCTCCGCATAACCTTCCTGCCCGCCTCTGCTCAAGACCCTGCCCTTTCACCGACCGAGAAGGGGAAATAGGTGATGGCCTCGACCGCAGCCCGCCGCCGCTTCTTGCCGGAGTAAACGACCGGGAAAGGTAAGAGCGACAGGATCTCGAAATCCCTCCCTCGTCTCTATTGGCCACTGGTCAAAACCCGACAAATCCTCTGTTTAACCCCTGGGCAGAACGAAGTGTAGCGGACGTTTATTCCGTGGGCGAAATGTGTCAACGCTTTCGTATGACCCTCGGTCAAAACGCAGTCTGGACAAAAAGCTGTCATAAATCGGGTTGCCCAATTAGTACGATATTGTCCGCTTTGGGCCAAGCCCGCACGGATTTACTCTTGGCTGTCCTCCCTAAAAGGCCTCGTACTAATTGGGCTAGGTGGACTCTAATATACAAGGGTTCCTTCCCTTGTATTTCCGATGTGGTACTTGGATTGTACCCTAACAATCCTCCCCTCAAGCCAAGGACCACGAACTTCGTGTCCTCACCTCAGCGATTATCTTGATCCGCCAGACACCTTGTACGATGGGCTTCTTGTACAAGGATTTTCCCAAACGTGGACCTCTCCTAGATCCCCCAAACAGCCCAGACGCAGATCTCCCTTGATCCGCCAAACAGACGTGGATCGCAAATCCCGAGGCCACCGAATGAGGGTCCACCAAACTGACGTCCACCGCCCGTACAAGGTGTCTGGCGGATCAAGATAATCGCTGAGGTGAGTACACGAAGTTCGTGGTCCTTGGCTTGAGGGGAGGATTGTTAGGGTACAATCCAAGTACCACATCGGAAATACAAGGGAAGGAACCCTTGTATATTAGAGTCCACCTAGCCCAATTAGTACGAGGCCTTTTGGGGAGGACACCCAAGAGCAAATCCGTGCGGGCTTGGCCCAAAGCGGACAATATCGTACTAATTGAGCGGCCCGATTTGACAAAAGCAATAACAGATTCGTTTAATCACGGGTCAAAACGCTGCGACACACGCGTTTAACCTTTGGTTATAACGCAACTACAGTTTATTTGACCGTCGGTCAAAATGAGATTTGACCCGCGTTTGACTGTTGGCCTATCACTAAACACCATTATCGTGGACTATCTGAGGGAGGGAAGGACTCCTCTTGTCCAACGGCTCTGATCGGTGCTCAAATGTGGGAAGGACGAAGCAACCAGGTGAAGGAGGGAAACGACGGCGGTCTAGTCCGACAGGTTACCCAGGATTGACGGGAGGTCACATTTACTCTGTTTCCGGCGAATTGATGACGGTGAAGGAGGGAGCTGACAACGACTTCTGGTTGCGGTTGTTGGTCCCTTGGCTCGGTGAGGCAGAAGCGAGGACATGACAACGGGCAGCCCTAGCCGGAGGAGGACAGCTCGTCGATGGGATGGAATGGATGGGCGCTGGCGGGATTGAAGGGATGGGATTCACCGGAGGAAAGAGGATGATGGGCGCTGATGTCTCTTGTAGGTGAGGGGATGGGTGCCGGAGTTTGTCGGTCGTGAAGTGTAGAGGTGGGAGGAATGGAGGAGAGAGGAGAGAGGGTTAACTTGTTAAGGTGTGTTTGTTTGAGTAATAATTTAAAATTTAGCTTGGACAATTATGTAAATTGTTTATTAAATTTAGGAAGGCGAATAGTAAAATTAGGACGACATTTAGTGTTTCAGAATTTATTTTGGGATTGCATTTTCATACTACTTTGGGCGATTTTTTTCGAAAGGTCATTTTCCATGGATTTTGAAGGCTGCATATCACGGATTCGACCTGAGCTATTCATCAACGACGAGTAAGTGCATTAAGCACGGATTTGTGCGGATTTCTTCCGGGTCCATTTTTGGCAGATTCCAAAAGGGTACCATCACAGATTTCGGACGATTTTTCAAAAATTCTATTTTCTTTCGATTTAGGAAGATACAAATCACGAATTCTACCCGAGGCTATTCTCCACCGATAATGAAGTCTATTGATCCTATTTTGCACCAATGATTAAGTCTATTAGGCATAGAATTGGGCCAATTTTAATTTGGAATGACATTTTCGTAATTTTTTGGGCGATTTTTATTCGAAAGGCCATTTTGCATGGATTTTGAAGGCTACATATCACGGATTCGGCCTAAGGCGATTCTTCAACGATGAGTAAGTCCATTAAGCACGAATTTAGGCGGATTTCTTTCGGGGTCCATTTTTGGCAATTTCCAAAGGGGTACCATCACTTATTTCGAGCGATTTTTCTAAATGCTATTTTCTTTCTATTTTGGAGACTATAGATCACGGATTCAGCCCGATACTATTCTCCACCGATTATGAAGTCTATTGATCCTATTCTCCACCAATGATTAATTTAATTAAGCATAGAATTGGGCCAATTGATTTTGAGATGGCATTTTCGTAATTCTTTGGGCGATTTTTTTTCGAAAGACAATTTTCCATCGATTTTGAAGGCTACAGATCACGGGTTCGGCCTGAGACTATTCTCCAACGACGTGTAAGTCCATTAAGTATGGATTTGGGCGGATTTCTTCCGGGTCCATTTTTAGCAGTTTTCAAAGGGGTACCATCACAGATTTCGGGAGATTTTTCCTAAATGCTATTTTCTTTCGATTTTGGAGGCTACAGATCGCGGATTCACCCAGAGACTATTCTCCACCGATAATGAAGTCTATTTCCTATTCTCCACCAATGATTAAGTACATTAGGCAAAGAATTAGGTCAATTTATTTTGGATGGCATTTTCGTAATTTATTGGCGACAAAAGGCCATTTTCTTTGGATTTCGAAGGCTACAGATCACGGATTCGGCCTGAGGCTATTCTTCAACGATGATTAAGTCCATTAAGTGTCGATTTGGGCGAATTTATTCCGGGCCCATTTTTGGCAGATTCCAAAGGGGCACCATCATAGATTTCGGGCAATTTTTCCGAAATGCCATTTTCTTTCGATTCTGGAGGCTGCAGATCACGGAATCAGGCCGAGCCTATATCCACCGATAATGAAGTCTATTGATACTATTCTCCACGGATGATAAGTCCATTAAGTACCAATTTGGGCCAATTTATTTTCGAATGGCATTTTCGAAATTTTTTTGGCTACGAAAGGCCATTTTCTTTGGATTTCGAATGCTACAGATCACGGATTCGGCCTGAGGCTATTCTTCAACGATGATTAAGTCCATTAAGTGTCGATTTGGGCGAATTTATTCCGGGCCCATTTTTGGCAGATTCCAACGGGGAACCATAAAAGATTTCGGGCAATTTTTCCTAAATGTCATTTTCTTTCGATTCTGGAAGCTGCAGATCACGGAATCAGGCCGAGCCTATATCCACCGATAATGAAGTCTATTGATACTATTCTCCACGGATGATAAGTCCATTAAGCACCGATTTGGGCCAATTAATTTTCGGATGGCATTTTCGTAATTTTTTTTCGACGAAAGGCCATTTTCTTAGGATTTCGAAGGCTGCAGATCACGGATTCGGCCTGAGGCTATTCTTCAACGATGAGTAAGTCCATTAAGTGTCGATTTTGGCGAATTTATTCCGGGCTAGTTTTTGGCAGATTCCAAAGGGGTACCATCACAGATTCGGGGCAATTTTTCCGAAATGTCATTTTCTTTTGATTCTGGAGGCTGCAGATCACGGAATCAGGCCGAGCCTATATCCACCGATAATGAAGTCTATTGATACTATTCTCCACGGATGATAAGTCCATTAAGCACCGATTTGGGCCAATTTATTTTCGGATGGCATTTTCGTAATTTTTTTGGTGACGAAAGGCCATTTTCTTTGGATTTCGAAGGCTACAGATCACGGATTTGGCCTGAGGCTATTCTTCAACGATGATTAAGTCCATTAAGTGTCGATTTGGGCGAATTTATTCCGGGCCCATTTTTGGCAGATTCCAAAGGTTAACATCACAGATTTCGTGCAATTTTTCCGAAATGCCATTTTCTTTCGATTCTGGAGGCTGTAGATCACGGAATCAGGCGGAGCCTATATCCACCGATAATGATGTCTATTGATACTATTCTCCACGGATGATAAGTCCATTAAGCACCGATTTGGGCCAATTTATTTTTGGATGGCATTTTCGTAATTTGTTTGGCGACGAAAGGCCATTTTCTTTGGATTTCGAAGGCTACAGATCACGGATTCGGCCCGAGGTCATTCTTCAACGAGGATTAAGTCCATTAAGTGTCGATTTGGTCGAATTTATTCCGGGCCCATTTTTGGCAGATTCCAAAGGGGTACCATCACAGATTTCGGGCAATTTTTCCGAAATGTCATTTTCTTTCGATTCTGGAGGCTGCAGATCACGGAATCAGGCCGAGCCTATATCCACCGATAATGAAGTCTATTGATACTATTCTCCACGGATGATAAGTCCATTAAGCACCGATTTGGGCCAATTTATTATCGGATGGCATTTTCGTAATTTTTTTGGCGACGAAAGGCCATTTTCTTTGGATTTCGAAGGCTACAAATCACGGATTCGGCCTGAGGCTATTCTTCAACGATGATTAAGTCCATTAAGTGTCGATTTGGGCGAATTTATTCCGGGCCCATTTTTGGCAGATTCCAAAGGTTAACATCACAGATTTCGTGCAATTTTTCCGAAATGCCATTTTCTTTCGATTCTGGAGGCTGTAGATCACGGAATCAGGCGGAGCCTATATCCACCGATAATGATGTCTATTGATACTATTCTCCACGGATGATAAGTCCATTAACCACCGATTTGGGCTAATTTATTTTCGGATGGCATTTTCGTAATTTTTTTGGCAACGGAAGGCCATTTTCTTTGGATTTCGAAGGCTACAGATCACGGATTCGGCCTGAGGCTATTCTTCAACGTTGATTAAGTCCATTAAGTGTCGATTTGGGCGAATTTATTCCGGACCCATTTTCGGCAGATTCCAAAGCGGTACCATCACAGATTTCGGTCAATTTTTCCGAAATGTCATTTTATTTCGATTCTGGAGGCTGCAGATCACGGAATCAGGCCGAGCCTATATCCACCGATAACGAAGTCTATTGATACTATTCTCCACGGATGATAAGTCCATTAAGAACCGATTTGGGCCAATTTATTTTCGGATGGCATTTTCGTAATTTGTTTGGCGACGAAAGGCCATTTTCTTTGGATTTCGAAGGCTACAGATCACGGATTCGGCCTGAGGCTATTCTTCAACGATGATTAAGTCCATTAAGTTTCGATTTGGGCGAATTTATTCCGAGCCCATTTTTGGCAGATTCCAAAGGGGTACCGTAACAGATTTCGGGCAATTTTTCCGAAATGTCTTTTGTTTCGATTTTGGAGGCTGCAGTTCACGGAATCAGGCCGAGCCTATATCCACTGATAATGAAGTCTATTGATACTATTCTCCACGGATGATAAGTCCATTAAGCACCGATTTGGGCCAATTTATTATCGGATGGCATTTTCGTAATTTTTGTGGCGACAAGAGGCCATTTTCTTTGGATTTCGAAGGCTACAAATCACGGATTCGGCCTGAGGCTATTCTTCAACGATGATTAAGTCCATTAAGTGTCGATTTGGGCGAATTTATTACGGGCCCATTTTTGGCAGATTCCAAAGGAGTACCAAAAAAGATTTCGGGCAATTTTTCCGAAATGCCATTTTCTTTCGATTCTAGAGGCTGCAGATCACGGAATCAGGCCGAGCCTTTATCCACAGATAATGAAGTCTATTGATACTATTCCCCACGTATGATAAGTCCATTAAGCACCGATTTGGGCCAATTTATTTTCGAATGGCATTTTCGTAATTTTTTTGGCGACGAAAGGCCATTTTCTTTAGATTTCGAAGGCTACAGATCACGGATTCGGCCTAAGGCTATTCTTCAATGATGATTAAGTCCATTAAATGTCGATTTGGGCGAATTTATTCCGGGCCCATTTTTGGCAGTTTCCAAAGGGGTACCATCACAGATTTCGGGCAATTTTTCCGAAATGCCATTTTCTTTCGATTCTGGAGGCTGTAGATCACGGAATCAGGCCAAGCCTATATCCACCGATAATGAAGTCTATTGATACTATTCCCCACGTATGATAAGTCCATTAAGCACCGATTTGGGCCAATTTATTTTCGAATGGCATTTTCGAAATTTTTTTGGCTACGAAAGGCCATTTTCTTTGGATTTCGAAGGCTACAGATCACGGATTCGGCCTGAGGCTATTCTTCAACGATGATTAAGTCCATTAAGTGTCGATTTGGGCGAATTTATTCCGGGCCCATTTTTGGCAGATTCCAACGGGGAACCATAAAAGATTTCGGGCAATTTTTCCTAAATGTCATTTTCTTTCGATTCTGGAAGCTGCAGATCACGGAATCAGGCCGAGCCTATATCCACCGATAATGAAGTCTATTGATACTATTCTCCACGGATGATAAGTCCATTAAGCACCGATTTGGGCCAATTTATTATCGGATGGCATTTTCGTAATTTTTTTGGCGACGAAAGGCCATTTTCTTTGGATTTCGAAGGCTACAAATCACGGATTCGGCCTGAGGCTATTCTTTAACGATGATTAAGTCCATTAAGTGTCGATTTGGGCGAATTTATTCCGGGCCCATTTTTGGCAGATTCCAAAGGTTAACATCACAGATTTCGTGCAATTTTTCCGAAATGCCATTTTCTTTCGATTCTGGAGGCTGTAGATCACGGAATCAGGCCAAGCCTATATCCACCGATAATGAAGTCTATTGATACTATTCCCCACGTATGATAAGTCCATTAAGCACCGATTTGGGCCAATTTATTTTTGAATGGCATTTTCGAAATTTTTTTGGCTACGAAAGGCCATTTTCTTTGGATTTCGAAGGCTACAGATCACGGATTCGGCCTGAGGCTATTCTTCAACGATGATTAAGTCCATTAAGTGTCGATTTGGGCGAATTTATTCCGGGCCCATTTTTGGCAGATTCCAACGGGGAACCATAAAAGATTTCGGGCAATTTTTCCTAAATGTCATTTTCTTTCGATTCTGGAAGCTGCAGATCACGGAATCAGGCCGAGCCTATATCCACCGATAATGAAGTCTATTGGTACTATTCTCCACGGATGATAAGTCCATTAAGCACCGATTTGGGCCAATTTATTTTTGGATGGCATTTTCGTAATTTGTTTGGCGACGAAAGGCCATTTTCTTTGGATTTCGAAGGCTACAGATCACGGATTCGGCCTGAGGTTATTCTTCAACGAGGATTAAGTCCATTAAGTGTCGATTTGGTCGAATTTATTCCGGGCCCATTTTTGGAAGATTCCAAAGGGGTACCATCACAGATTTCGGGCAATTTTTCCGAAATGTCATTTTCTTTCGATTCTGGAGGCTGCAGATCACGGAATCAGGCCGAGCCTATATCCACCGATAATGAAGTCTATTGATACTATTCTCCACGGATGATAAGTCCATTAAGCACCGATTTGGGCCAATTTATTATCGGATGGCATTTTCGTAATTTTTTTGGCGACGAAAGGCCATTTTCTTTGGATTTCGAAGGCTACAAATCACGGATTCGGCCTGAGGCTATTCTTCAACGATGATTAAGTCCATTAAGTGTCGATTTGGGCAAATTTATTCCGGGCCCATTTTTGGCAGATTCCAAAGGTTAACATCACAGATTTCGTGCAATTTTTCCGAAATGCCATTTTCTTTCGATTCTGGAAGCTGTAGATCACGGAATCAGGCCGAGCCTATATCCGCCGATAATGAAGTCTATTGATACTATTCTCCACGGATGATAAGTCCATTAAGCACCGATTTGGGCCAATTTATTTTCAGATGGCATTTTCGTAATTTTTTTGGCTACGAAAGGCCATTTTCTTTGGATTTCGAGGGCTACAGATCACGGAGTCGGCCTGAGGCTATTCTTCAACGATGATTAAGTCCATTAAGTATCGATTTGGGCGAATTTATTCAGGGCCCATTTTTGGCAGATTCCAAAGGGGTACGATCACAGATTTCGGGCAATTTTTCCGAAATGCCATTTTCTTTCGATTCTGGAGGCTGCAGATCACGGAATCAGGCCGAGCCTATATCCGCCGATAATGAAGTCTATTGATACTATTCCCGACGTATGATAAGTCCATTAAGCACCGATTTGGGCCAATTTATTTTCGAATGGCATTTTCATAATTTTTTTGGCGACGAAAGGCCATTTTCTTTGGATTTCGAAGGCTACAGATCACGGATTCGGCCCGAGGCTATTCTTCAACAATGATTAAGTCCATTAAGTGTCGATTTGGGCGAATTTACTCCGGGCCCATTTTTGGCAGATTCCAAAGAGGTATCATCACAGATTTCGGGCAATTTTTCCGAAATGTCATTTTCTTTCGATTCTGGAGGCTGCAGATCACGGAATCAGGCCGAGCCTATATCCACCAATAATGAAGTCTATTGATACTATTCCCCACGTATGATAAGTCCATTAAGCACCGATTTGGGCCAATTTATTTTCGAATGGCATTATCGTAATTTTTTTGGCGACGAAAGGCCATTTTCTTTGAATTTCGAAGGCTACAGATCACGGACTCAGCCTGAGGCTATTCTTCAACAATGATTAAGTCCATTAAGGGTCGATTTGGGCGAATTTACTCCGGGCCCATTTTTTATTCCAAATAGGTATCATCACAGATTTCGGGCAATTTTTCCGAAATGCCATTTTCTTTCGATTCTGGAGGCTGCAGATCATGGAATCAGGCGGAGCCTATATCCACCGATAAAGATGTCTATTGATACTATTCTCCACGGATGATAAGTCCATTAAGCACCGATTTGGGCCAATTTATTTTCGGATGGCATTTTCGTAATTTTTTTGGCAACGGAAGGCCATTTTCTTTGGATTTCGAAGGCTACAGATCACGGATTCGGCCTGAGGCTATTCTTCAACGATGATTAAGTCCATTAAGTGTCGATTTGGGCGAATTTACTCCGGGCCCATTTTTGGCAGATTCCAAAGGGGTATCATCACAGATTTCGGGCAATTTTTCCGAAATGCCATTTTCTTTCGATTTTGGAGGCTGCAGATCGCGGAATCGGGCCGATCCTATATCTGCCGATAATGAAGTCTATTGATACTACTCTCTACGGATGATAAGTCCATTAAGCACCGATTTGGGCCAATTTATTATCGGATGGCATTTTCGTAAATTTTTTTGGCGACGAAAGACCATTTTCTTTGGATTTTGAAGGCAACAGATCACGGATTTGGCCTGAGGCTATTCTTCAACGATGATTAAGTCCACTAAGTGTCGATTTGGGCGAATTTATTCCGGGCCCATTTTTGGCAAATTCCAAAGGGGTACTGTCACAGATTTCGGGCAATTTTTCCAAAATGCAATTTCCTTTCGATTCTGGAGGCTGCAGATCACGGAATCAGGCC